GAGCCGATGGCTGTCAGCATGGAGGAACCAGCGCCGTGCGTCTGCCCAGAATGCATCAGCACCATGGGCATGTTGGAGGAGAGCGGAGGGATGAAAGCGTGGTGTGTTCATAGCACTGTATTGCTAGTGTGCCAACAGTAACAGCGTGTTAGAGAAGTTTAAAGTGCAAGACAAACATTATCTGGCAGTGCTGGCTGGCACCTGTATGTTGCCGCGTGTACTTTGCTTGGGAGTTCAGCGCTGAGCTGGACTCGGCTGAAGAGCGGAAGAGGCTCTGCATTGGTGGGCAGCCCCAGGAGCAGCGTCAATGCACGCTCCTGCTCTGCCTCTCCAGGGGGCTGCGAACAACTTCTCTACAGCACTGCCCTGGGACTCCTGTCTGCTCCTGGAGAGGACATGAGGCTGCCCGTCCCCCCGTCCCCGACGCAGAGCCAGCGCTGGAGCGGGGAGGAGGCTGGAGCAGAGCATCCTTTGTCATCTCCTCGGACAGGTGTGAGCGGCCGGGTCTGACTCGCGCTCCCCTTCGGCTCGGCTTCGTGCAGCTTCGAGTCTGGCCAGCGAGACAGCGGTCGGTCCGTGACGGATGGGGTACGCGCGAGGACTGTGGGTGCGTCGCTGGTGGAGGGGCCCGTGGCAGCGCCTGGCCCCTCCGTGCCAGTGCGGCGGGTGGCACGGGGCTGTGGGGGCAGCTGGGACCGAGGTCCTGATGGGAGATTTTATTTGTTTCTCCTGTGGCTTGTTTGGGGATGAGTCACTCGGTTTCAGAAACGTAAAAGAGGGTTGCCTGAGGAACTGAAATGCACTTTGTTTGTTTTCAAAGGCACTTAGTGGGGTGATTGTGAGCAGGAAAAGGGGAAGAGGCTTTGAGTCACCTCCATCCCGCATTAGTCAGTATGCTTTAGCAAGTAAGCAGATGCCATCCCTGAGATACAGCTTACTTTTCTCAGGAAGAAGGAGAAAGCTTTCCCCCTGTCGTGCATTGCCTTTTTAACATATTTTTTTCTCAACAATCACCACGGAGGAGGTGAGAGAAACATAAACTGTGAGCAGGGTCAGTGCTGCCCCTCAACCCAGAGGGGTTCCTCCTGGATCTGCCCAGACGCTCGTTCCCCTTCTTGGAGGTGAAGGAGGGACATCTAAAATGGTCCCTGTGGTGCTGCTGTGACATGCAACACGTTTCTGTCCCCATCTGTCTGCCAGGAGAGGCACGGGGACCGCAGGGACTCGTCATGTGCCAGCCACAAACCCTCCTCCAGGTGTGTGGGCCAGATGTTTTCTGACAGGGTATTTCTCTGTTGCAAGATGCTGTGTTTTTGAGGGATGAACGTTTAAGATGGGAATGGACCAACACTGCAGCAGTCCAGGGCAATGAGCAGATCCCCTGGAGCAGGAGGAGGCCCGTGCCAACGTTTTCCTGGCACCGGGATTTCCTCTGCTCCGGCAAACGCCTTCCCAAGCAGCCAGGAGGACAGAGCATGGGGGAGCTCAGTGAGGTGGAACAGCAGCAGCAGTTCAGTGTAAAGAGGGAACATTAACTGGAAACGTGGACTTCTGTGGCACTGATAGCGCTGGCAGGCTGAAATAGTTTGAGCTTGGGCCAGAATATGTTATTTTTTTTCACTACAGATACCTGCCAAATATAAAAGTGTTTCAGTGGCCATATTTTAAATTGGTTTTACTAAATGATATATACTAATGCTAATCCAGCCATTGGCTGAAGAAAGAAACGATGTTCCTCGAGATCCCCAGGAAGACACAGGTAGGCAACGTCCTTCACATAAACACTCAGCCACGTCTGAAGGCTTGCTCCTGGGGCAGTTACAGGTCATTCATGGCAAGGCATCAGGACTGCTACGCAATAAGAATAAAACCAAAAATCCTTTCACTGACTATTACATCCTAAAGCATTGCCAATACTTCTTTAAAGGTGGGAAATACTGTTTCCCTGCCTGCTGTATCACCAATATCTCTTGCAAAATCTGGGGTTTATCTGGCTTTTGTCAGAATAGAAGTTGGCTATCAGGGAGCAGAAGTGTTAGTGTGCCACGTTTGCTCTTCCTAGGTTGACAGACAAACCCACTTCTAAAGCCAGGAGCTGTGTGCCCGTTCAGCTGAAGAAGCCCGTGGAACGAGCTGGGAAGCCGAGGTGTAGGGCTGGGGTCAACCAGCTGTGGCTCTTGAGTCCAGCAAATGCCGGCACCCCGCTTGCCGCTCTCTTGTCACCGGGGGTTTTGGACTGTAGAGAGGAAAGGCTTCATTCTGCAGATCGGGCTGACTAGTGAATGCCACTTACCAGTGGAGTTTATAGATCTGAAACGAACTGACGTTGCTTAAATATTACTTGAAATGAATGTTACTGAAGTGATGAGTTAGAATGGATTGTAATCTGTACAGGCACTAAGATTGCTCTTGTTTCTGCTTATGTCACACTGGGTTATTGTTTTGGGGTTTTGTAATCACACACTGTGTTATGGTTTAGGACTAGGATAGCTTGACTGAGACTCTGATAGAAACCTCCTCATGTGCCAAAAATCTCAATTAAGTATTTTTTCATGCAGTCGAGTACTTCATGCAGATACGGATCTGTCAGGCTGCAGGAGGCCTCTGGGTCCATACTTCGGCTGCTTTGGACGGCGAGTGGTCAGTCTCCCTGGCAGTGGCGAAACTGCACCCAGATGGGGTCCCTCGACAGCATGCCGGCAGCAATTACTGCCAGACCAGTTCTGCAAAACTTCCTTTTTGGTGAAAATCTGTGATTGCATTTTTTTGTAAAGACCGTTTGTGAGATGGCAACAATGTGGAAAAAATTCTTTAGTTCTCATCAGATGGAAAATCGTCATGCACAGAGGATAACTGTTGTGTGCCGTGGGATAGGTCTGTGTGCTCGGCACAGCTCGGCACGGCGGTGGGACGCTCTCAAGAGGTGGGTTTCAGCACAGAGCTCAGCCTGCCCGGGGGGGCCGTACGCCCCTGCCCCACACAGGGAGGGTTTTCTAACCCCCGGGACTTGCAAGCCCTGCCAGGGCGGACTGGTGAAGGTGGAGTACTCCAGCCAGCGGCCAGATGAGGTGTCTCATGCTGGGGCATGCAAATGTGGGCATCTCTGTGGCTTCCCCAAGTCATTTCAGATTTCCTTTTCAGCACTGACTGTTTCTGAAGTTGATACAGTATTTTTCAATAGCATGTAGTATCCTGTTTGCTATCATTCGTATCACTTTGCTCCTGAAATTATTGGGAATTTTGCTTGATGGCAAGATGAGGCACCACAAGGTTAAAAAAACAGCGAGCGAGATCTTTACCAAATGACCAGTCCAGGTTCATTGAAATGCTTGTGTTAAAACATGTTCTCCCAGTTGTCCTTTTGGGCATGGCAGAGCACCTAGAAGGACGTGCGATGGACGGATGGATGTGGTTCCTGGCGCTGTGGCAGGAGCAGCCGGTGGCTCTCCAGTGCCGGTGCCGTCACCGGGCACGAGCTGAGCGGCGGAGCAGGGAGCGAGAGGGAAGGCAGCTCCTCCCCAGTGACCTGACGCAGCGAGGGACTGGGCAAGTAGGAGGAAAATGAACTTATTGTGTCAGAAATATGATTAAAATCAGACATGCAAAATAAGCAGGCCCCCTCACCCTGTGCTAGGGGTTAAATTTTACTTACTGCCCCGTCCCACCATGCTCATTGTTTTACTTACCCTGAGTTTCTGCCAAGATTGCGATGTGATCTATAGTGCTCTACAGTCCCAAAATGGACTGGTTTCCAGCATAACAGGAGACAGAGGTTTCTTTTTTTAAATGATACTCATTTTAAAACCTCATTCTGCTTCTTTCACAATCTCTCATTAAAAAGCTGTTATCTTTTATGTGGGTGGGCGCTCCCGGCCAGAGCCGGACACCCGTCCCTGCGCCGCCTCCACCACCATTTATAGAGGCAGAACCGTTATAAAAGGCATGCGGATCAGTTCTGAATTAATCTGTTGTGACAGCACATACCAGACTGCGCTGAACTTCCACAAGGTTGGCAGAGACAAAACCTAACAGCCCTCACCCCACGGTGCTGGCTGCCCCCCTTCCTCCCCTGCCTGTGCCCCGTGCTGCCCGCACCTCTGCCAGCCTTTTCTCTGGGAGCTGGGTGTCCAAGGCACGTGTAGCAATACTTTGTAAAGGTGCATAAAAGGTCTCTACTGAGAAAAATGAATGTAACAACTTCTACATTTTTATTACTTCTCTGTTTTGATAGCGATAGCCCCACTTTTCCCTTGCAAAGGTTCAAATGCCACCTAGGGTTAATTGTGACGAACTCTGGTTCCTTTGCACAGTTTTTGTCCAGCTGACTAAACAGAAAATGACAGCGTGTTTCAGACGAGTCCCATCGTGATGTCCAGCCTTCCTCGGACACAAATGCATGGCATTTACATTGCTCTTTGCTCCCAAACCTGCTTTGCTCCCTACCAAAACGCAAGCGCTCTGTTGAGGGCATTGCTTTGCCCTTGCTCTGCGGTGTTTTCAGCTCCTACTCGCAGTCTGTGGCCTTCAGTTCTTGCTTCCCTGCCTGTGGCTGGAAAGTCACACACTGACACCATTATCCAAAGAAAGCATTCTTTTCCCGTCTTTGCCAAAAGGTAATCTGAGCAATGCAAGGGATGCCGAGCAAGTCGAAGAACGAACAAGCTGAATTCAGGCAAGTGTCTGAAGCAAGTAGTGCTTTAAGGACAAATTATTGCAGAGAGAAGCAGCTGTTCATGAGAATTGTTGTGTGCGGGAATGGAAAAATTAAGTAGATTTCTTTAATTGCCAAACCTAATTCTTAGCTCTCCTATGAGCACAACACATACCGAGCGCCCTGGTGATCTGCTAGAAGAGATTTATGTAATGCGCACCTAAACCACGGGTCACGTGGCTGGCTTTCCGCTCTCGTACTTTTTGATCGCGGAGGAGCGAGTGTGTTTTAGTTTCCTCAGCCATGCCGCAGCGTTTAGCAACACCCTTTTAAATGCCCTTCCACCGACATGGCTCTGAGAAGGCTCATTCAGCAGAACCATAACGCCAACTTCTTAGGCTTCGGTGCCAGCCCTTCCGAGGGGGAGCAGGCTCTGCCGATGGACAGCAGGAGGATCCAGCACCTGGCCAACACGGTGGGGACGCTGCCCCGCGGGCGCAAGCAGGTATGGGGTAGCTCCTGTGCTCCGGGAGGCTGACGGCTCCTTTCTGCCCGGAGAGCCGCTCGCTGCCCGCGGTTGCAGGGGTGAGCAGAAACGGCCGAGTTTCTGCAAGCGACCGCACCGGTTCGCTGCGGCTCCTGATTTCAGGGTGGTGGAAGGATTGCTGCCGGGCGCCTTTAGCCTAGGCGGTTTGGGGATTGCAAGGAAATCTTCACAGCACCGGCAGCGTGGGAAGCTCCCGAGAGGAGTGAGCAAAGAGGCGTTCATCCTGTAGGGGCTTGGGCACGTGAAGTGCTTTTGCAGCCGAGATCCTGCCCCAGCTGCGTTTCTTCTCCATTTACAGCAGTGCTGCGAGTTGAAAGAGGCTCTTGCTGTCTGGGTGTTCCTTTAAACTTGCATTTACTTCAGTATAGCGGCCTGGCTGGACTGTCCTTTGTTCTGCAATGCTGACAGAAAGCACCTACCATGAGTTATTTCCATCCGGATTTTGGAGTATTTTGCTACAATGGCTGGGGCTGCTTGGGCTGTCTCTCTGGTCTGGGCTTTCCCCCCAGCACGGCTCAGAACAGCACATTTCTGCTGTTTGCAACTGGATTCCCACGAAACTCTCTCTTGCTGTTGCTGTAAATTGCCCCCTGAGCGATTCCAGCCTTGGTCTATTTGTCTAGTATGAAGAAGCCTGAATAGAAAATGTTTGAGACACATTATATTCTGAAATTATCATCAGAAAACTAGTATGTAATATCTGCGCTTTTAAGGCTTGGCTTTGTTCAGTAACGGAAACGCACTTAATCCTTTTCTTTGTACAAGTGTGGGGAGATAAAGGAAAGCCAGAGCCAGACTAATCTGGGGAACGCTGCTGCTGGGTGGCATCCAGGTCCCGCGGCTGTGATGGAGCAGCCCTTTGTGTGGGAATTGCTGCCGGCGCAGGGGGAGGCTGATGGTAATGGCTGTGACGTGGCCGTATCTGCTCAAGATGAATTACAACACGGGCATCAGGCCTGAGGACCGCTCTGCACAGACCGTACCTAATGGTTGCGTGCCGCAGGTGTACGCCTGCCGTTAGCTCTTTCACCTGGTGTGCGGTTTATTGTTATACGTGTGGTCTCTCCCTCCTCTCCCCAAGTACATGCATGTTTATAAAGTAGGGTGTTTCTGTTAGTGGTCATGCTGTGGCATCATTTTGTACTGCTGAAGCCCGAGACATTTGGCTATACTGACTCCAAACATTTCAGTGATAATGTAATTCCTTATTCATGGTTCATTTTTACGGGAAGAATCAATGTTTAACACTGATCGTGGCTTTTTCCAGAGATGTCTTCAGGCACAGGTCTACCTAGCCTGAAGCAGGGATCCTGGATGCTCGTTGCCATGATCATGCATGCATCGGCTCGGAAATGCTATGCAGCCACCACAAGAAACTGCAGGGATAGCTGCCTGCAGTTACCTTAATTTATCTGTGCTTTCTGCCTTTTCCGACAGGTGTTAAGTTTATAAATGCCCACAGACTTTTAGGGGAAAAGTACAAAAGAAAGGTGAGGTCTTAGCATAACAGAGACGTGATTTGGGCACTATATAGATGATAGTTACAGCGTTAATGGCTAATTTTGAAGGATCCCCGCTGTTGCAGAGATGCCCTGGCGCTGTGTGCCCGCCAGCCCCTCGTCCTTCCACAAGAGCAGAAGTGCCTGTGGACCCCCGAGGACGGAGCAGCCCGGCCACAGCCCGTGGCACGGGGCGGCCGCACGCCGAGCCATGGCCCTGCCTGGCCCCCAACTCCCCACAGTGCACCGCGATCGAGCAAGGCGACCCCCAAAGAAGGAATATTCCTTCTCTTATTTGAAAACACAGGGCTGCCACATACGTTTGGTTTTTTTTTTTTTTAATTATGCAAAATAAGACAAGAGGATTGTGGACATTGCAAAGACCAGTGGGAGGTCCATCTCTGATGTCCTGTTGGGTGCAGGGGTTTTCTTGAGTGGTCATGCCTCTTGTCTTTCTCATTTCTACTGTCCTCAGAGATTACACCTCCAGCAGCTTGGGGAAGAGTTCCCTGCCCCCAGCACTTTTGCTATTAGAAAATTTTCCTCGAGATTCAACTTGTATTTTTCCACTCATTCTCAGTTTTTTTCACAGCAACATCTATCACCCTAAATAGCACTCTTCTGCTGCAGGGTCTTCCAACAGGTATTGCTACAGGGGTCTCCCAGCCAAGTTACTTCTGGTTCCAGACCTCTCTCCCCCTCCGAAGCAGGTGTTTGTGAGTTTATGAAAGCTAATTGTGAAGATGTCAAATTATCACACCTGCGCAAAAAAAGCCTTGTTTTGCTTCATTTTATATTGGCTGGTGGTAGCTCAGCTCTCAATTTTAACTTATTGCAGGGAAGATTGGATAGCTAGTGGGTGGCCAATTTTTTCTAATAAAGTTGGAACAGGTACTGCATTACTGTCTCCCAGCAAGGATGCCCAGACATTTTTCTGGAGGTAAACAACTGAAACAATATTCTGATGTTCTAAGAGTACCCATGGTTTTTTTTTTTTTTGTTTGTTTGTTTTTATTTTGGAAATACTCAATTTTATATTTAAAAGGTTTGGAAAAATGAAAAAGCTGAGCTATAACCAGTTTCCCAGGGCTTAATTTCCAACATAATAAAAATAAACATGAATTCCTTCAACAACTGCCTCTTGCAGGTTAATGCAATCCGTCACACCAGAATGTGTCGCAGTTGGTACTTGGTCTTGCAGCAATGCCAGTTAAACATTCTCCACGGGCATTGGTATCAGACCTGTTACTGTGTAAAATTACTCTCTAACTCACTTGGAAAGGAACCGTAGGGTGGAGGAAGACTTCTTGGGCAGGAGGGAGCACCTTTTCCAAGCTTTGCAGGGAGCACTCAGCAGACCTGGAGGTCGTTGCTGTTGGCTGCTGACTCTCCGCTCGTGCCCGGCTGAGCTCGCCATCAGCGTCTAATAGGTGGCTTTGAACATGATGATAACTTGTCTTGCGTTCTGGACCTAGCTGCTCTTCCTCCTGATCTGAAAGTTTAAGTTCTCATTTCACTGAGGAAGAGGCTGCATTGGTGCAAGCTGGTGGTGGGATGCCACCAGCTAGTTTTAGTTTTTCTCTAAACTGCAGATTTTAGCCGTGTGCCTCAAAGAACCATGAACTTACTGACCCTTTTCCACTCCCATTTCTGGTTACAGCTTGCCTTAGCCAGATCCAGCTCCTTGGGCGACTCCTCCAGGCCCCAAAGGTATGAAGATACTCTTCTACAATCACTGTTATTTACTTATTCTGCATGAAATGTGTCCTGGGAATCTTCCCATTTAGCAGCCCTAGGAGGGTAAAGGTGCAAGGCAGAGAGTGGTACCCAGCACCTGGGATGTGTGGGTGAAATTGTGACATTTAGTTTGAGTAAGGAAAGAACAAGCACTACTGCTGCAACGTCTGTGGGAAGGCTTGCTGACACCCTGTTAGCACAGGGAGGGGCAATGATGGGGACACGATTGTTTTGGTTAGAAATAGAGTGCACGAAGTGTGGCAACCCAGCATTCATGAGGAATTCTGTATATTCTTGTTACAGACACCTTGTTGCTATATTAAAAGAAGATAAAGAGACATTTGGGTTTGAAATCCAGGTAAGATTTAAATGACAAGTCGATTGATTTAAAAATAAAATATGGTGCAAACTCTTAAGTGTCTCATCCTCAAATTTAGGTTAAGACAGCATAGAGCAGAGAATGGTATCTGTCAGTTCCTCGTGAAATTTGAAGAGCTTATAGTAATGATACAGAACTAGGATGCATTTCCAAAGATTTTTTTTCATAGCGAAGGTCACAGATGAGAATTTCCAGCCTTCTCACAGGTCAGACCATTGAATGTAGGAGAAATCTCATCCAAATCCAAATATGAGGCAATGGCAATGCCTTTTCACCTCCATAAGTGAATAATTTTGGGGAGAATTGCACATGGGAATGTTTTCATATAAAAAGAGAGACATCAAAAAACTCTCTCTCCAAAAAATGCCTTATACTAGCATTTTACTATGTCCTTTAACATATACAGAGACATATGTATTTTTGAAGTGGATGTACAGTATTGGCATGTTTTTTTAAATAAATAACTGCTAAGCTTGACTTTTTGGGGGCTAAATCATATAGGAAGAAATTCTGTTAGATGTAGAAGTCAGTAAATCATCATATAGGAAAACCAGAATCTTATCAGGAGTACGACTAATGGGGGATTTTTGTTCTGTAGATTTTTGTGAGAAAGGTAACTCTTAGATCAGTAGGCCTGCTAAAATCCTGGTTATAAATAAAAATAATCCCAGGAATAAAAGGATGTAGTTTTGGGAACAGTGGGTTGTGGCAATACCACAGAGCTCTGCCTGCCGGCGGGACCTGCAGGCAGGAGCCCGTTTTGTGAGCCTGTGCCGGCGAGACCCTCCCACATCACCCCTCTGTTTCAATTCCTGCAGCGGCAGGGCATCTTCAAAGTGCTTGCCTCTATCTGTGCACAAAGGGAAAATACTATTTTCAGTGGAATTCGTGTGTTAGGAAAAGCTTAACTTTTTCAAATTTGGATCTGTGGCTAATGAGCGGGTAAGCGTTCAGCTCGTGAACAGGGGAGAGCTTTCAGTAGGAAGGATAATTGAGTCAATTATTGGGCTTTTGTATAAATTGTCAGGGCAGATTTTCATTATATGTGACATTCTGATTGAAAATAATTGTTCTTGGCACATTTTCTTCCTGAACGTACATTCAGCGTAAGCACTTCACTAGAAAGTCTGGGCTGTGGAAAGGCAGCATCTGTCTGATACTAAGAACAAGCCATTATTTAGAAGCTGTAATTTCACTACTACAAGTTAAATTTAGGCAAACCAGAATAAGATGATGTGAAACTCTAGGTCTACCATCTGCAGGGAGCTCATGAGAACTGCAGTGATGGCCGAACGCCAGAGCTTCTCACATGTTACCGCTTCTTCTCCTACTTCTACACTGGCGGACCAGAGCCCAGGGGTGAGACGGACGCCGTGCGGCTCCCAAAGTGCCGAGGTGTTTGCAGAGCAGACGCTCTGGTAGCATGTCTCTCCTCTCACTGCAGCCACCTAAAAGTGAGGTGGCTTTTTTTGGAGGTCCCCTCCAAAACCATGGCCCAGCCATCTTCTGCAGTCTGTGAGGACAAGGGACACGAGAGGGAAGTCCACCCTCCTGGTTGGAGTGCTTCTCTTGGGGCCATCCGTCACACCTGGGAGATGTCCACCTCTCCCAGTGGCTCTGGTGGGGACGTTGAGACACCTCGGTCCAGATGGCTCCGGTTACGTGTGACGAATCCCATCCTGCTTGAGCTTGTATTGCTCAAGTTGACCCAATCTTTCAAGTTTGTAGGTGAGACATACCACTCTGAAACAGGTCCAAAAAAAAAAAAAAAAGGCAAGCATGACCTGCAGTGGCATGTCCTCCAAGACCCTCATGTTTCACTTGGTGCTCTTAGTTTAACCAAAAGTTTTACTGTTCGTCTAAGGGTTGAAGTCACCACGTCGGTGTGATTTGACCAGATAAGCTCTGAACTCACCTGGTCTTCATCCCTACTTGTTCCACGCTGACTGAGAAATTTGGGAATCTAACATGAGTTCTTATATCTGGGTTAGATGTGGCTATCATAGGTTTTCAGGAAGTTCCGCTTCAGTCTTAAATTTTGGTAGGAAGATGTGGCTGAATACTGAAATTTGCATGTAACCAAGAAGACATTTCCTGTCATTGCAAGATCTCATCAGGTTGCATCACTTACTTTTGCATTTTTTCCAAATACATGTCAGCACTAATAATCACATAATGCATTTATACTTAGAATTACTTAATATATATTTAAATGTATAATAAAAAGCACTTTTGAGGGCATGTGGGGACATGTGTGGATAATGACTTTAAGAGGCCAAAAGAGCAAAAGTAGGTTCAAGTCTTGTTGCTTTTCAGTTCTTATTGCGAACCGATCTATCTGGCGGCACCAGCTGACTTCACGCGGCATTCACAATGAGTAAGAGTCAATCAATTGAAAAGCCCAAGTCACACCCTGCCATGCTGTGACTGGGAACATGAAATACTCTTCCAGAAAGCAATCTGCATCCATGCTAACAGATATTCTTGACTCAAGCTCCCGAGTTTTTGATCATAAATAACCAACTTGCTTTAAAACTAGGGTTTTTTTGCAAAAACAAGGTACAGGCATCTGTCAGGTGTCTGCTGTTCTTTGTCATAAGAATGCAATTTCTAGTTGTTAGGTTATAACATTTTGGTGTTCTCACTTGCATGATAATATACCCTGCTCATCACAGCCTTCTCATTTAAAAAATGTGTAAAAAGACTATTAATTTTTAAATTGTTTTCATGGCCTTACTATTGGTAACACTGTCACTTTGGTATTAACAGACTATTAGATTTCCGCACCAAAATGATTACTCCCTGGAGGTGTGCACTTGTGTCTGCAAAATTCAAGAAGAAAGTCCTGCCCATCTTTCCGGCCTTCAAACTGGTAACTGTTCATGTTTTTTCCTGCTGTGGGTGGCCTTGTCTTGCTTTTCTCCCAATTACTTTTATTGCAGACGTGCCTGAGCTGCAGATGCTAATTTTTGCCTCTGTGTATCTCTAACAGGCGATATCCTCTCCAGTATCAACGGCGTGAACACGGACGGTTTTAATCACAAGCAAATAGTAGACTTGATAAAGTCTTCAGGAAACTACTTAAGGTAGGCGTCCCTCCTTCAGGTGGTTCTCAGCTTAATAGTCTCTCCCGCTGGAAGCCAAGAAAGTTTCTCGCGACACCCTGCCGCCCTGCGCTGTCCCGGGGCAGAAATCCCGTGGGTTTGGTTGTGGAGACCCGCACTCTTACTGCCGGCGAGGGCTTCGGAGGGAGACAGGAGCTCTGGGAAGGTGTCCCGGTGCTGTTCCCCCGCTCCTTTCTCTCCTGCCCCGCGTTTGCTCGTCTTGCACCAGCACCACTGCCGCGGAGGAGAGGGTTCGGCTGCGCGGGGGGGTCCCCGTCCCCACTCCCTCGGGACCCCACAGCACCACGCGCCGCAGCGCGGTGCGACCCGCTGCTGTGAGCTGCGGCATGGGGTCCAGCAGCCCCCGCCAGCGCTCGGTGCTCCTCACCGCTTCGGTGCCAGCATCCCCTTCTTCGCAGGTTAGAGATTGTCAATGGGGCCATGTTTCTGCGGAAAATGGAGCTCGAGACCAAGCTGCAGTTACTGAAGGTAATAGAATTAACTAGTTAAGCCTTTGTTGGACGCAGAGGGCTGTTGTGGATTCATTGCTTAATGGGGGCGGGTGGGTGTCCGTGGGGCTGGGTGTCCTGGTGGGGGGCACATACCCGTGTGTGCCCTGCCACCAGCACCCCCAGCCCTGGTCCCTGTAGTATTTTCTGTATAATTTTATTGTAGTATTTTCCCCATTTTTTTTGGTAGTATTTTCCCCCACAGTAATTTCTGTAAGTCTCTAAATATCTCAATTTCTGTCTGTGTCGAAGCTGTGCCCAGCTGGTAGGCAGTCCTCCCCTGTAAAAACAGAACAGCGTATTTTAACGTACTCTGTATTTAGCAAAAAGGGAAGGCAGGCTTTCACAAGCAGAGCTTAGGCTCTTTAGGGCCACCACGCTGACGGCACCTCCGACTTGTAGAACTTTGTTCCCCCAGCCGAGTCCGAGGCAGCCGGGCTGGCAGCAGGTTTTTGGGTGCCGGCACCCCAGTGTGCTTCTCCACTCGCCCTGCTGCAGCTGCAGTGCTGCAAGGGCCAGGGCTTTCCAAAGCTGGGGCTCAATCGACCTGAGTGAGGGGTTTTTCCTTATGGCAACTCCATGCCAAAACCCTCTGCACAGGAGTATGGTACTTCAAAAAGTGCATTAAAAATTCATCTGGCTAGAATAAACCTCACGCCAAATGGGTTAGGCTTGCCAGAGCTAAGCAGCAGGGACAGGGTTTGCCATATGTGCCATTGCCTATAAAATATAAGTCCTGCCACGGGGGCCATTTCATGTTTAGTATTTAGCATGTTTAAAACAATGTTTATTTAATTTGGTTTGCGCTGCATTTATGAGAGTACAGCACAGGGCATTATAATTTGCTGCATGACACTGATGCTGTCGATGATGTAAACGGTACCCATGGGGGATGGACGGAGAGGAAAGGAGGGGTTCCTCCCAACCTCCGCTGGTCTGCGGCTGGGGGGGTGCTGAGGGCAGTGCCTGCCTGTACGGGAGATATCTTGGTCACCATCCCTTCAGCCTAGGAGATGGGCAGGGGTGAGGAGACGAGGGTGAGAACTCCATGAGCTCAGTTTCCCTCCAAGGCTCGCTAAACTGACAGGAGCTATGGAGGATGCTTTTGGACATAGCTGGGATGGTTTTAGGCATCGCTCCCCCGCAGCCAGCTGCTATTTTCTCTCTGAAGGAGGTAAAACTGACCAATGGAATGTGAGGGGCTCTTGGCTCTTGGCTGGTGGGAACAGCCGGGGGAGCCGAGCCTGGAGGCAGCGCTGGTGTTCCCTGAGGGGCTGGGGCTGGGACAAACCCCTGCATGGTCCAGAGTGGTCCAGCGGGGTGGGAGGCGTTGGGAGACCGATGCGAGTGCAGGGGCCACGCCGGCCTCACGTGGAGCTGTGCGGGACCACGTCCCTGGTGCCCGAGGCTGGCGGGAGCTGGGGTAGTGGTTTGGGATGCTGAGACCACCTGGCTAGTCCAGACATGGCGAGAAACGAGCCAGATCCCAGAGCTGGAGAGTTCATTGTGTTAATGAGCACAAAACAGCAGGATGCTTCCATCCCAGCCGCAGTCAGTGCTCTATGGCAAGCCGTTCAGTCTGGTCCCTGAGAAATGTGGTTGAAACAACCGGTAAAGTCATCAGAAATGGGCCATCCCCCCCATCCCTTTCCAGGGAAATTATAAAGCCAGAATCTCAAAATCTGCTGTGAAAGGTTCAGTTTCAAGAGCAGAATTTTTAGATAACAGCTGTTTCCCAGAAGTGCCAAACCTCTGCAACAAGCGTCATTACAGAGTAAAATATGGGTGTGTGCCTGGCCCTGCACTCTCATGCCAGTGTGGCTGCAGTGGAAAGAACCTAATTCTGTTTATAACTCTGATGCCTTACTGAAGGGTGTGCTCGGTCGCTGCAAAACCCTGTAACCACAGTGAGACAGCAACATGCCTGTGAGTGCTAAACATCACAGGTTTGGCCGTGCAGTTGCACAAGCGTGTCCTGCCCTCGGGATGCAGCAGCCAGCAGCGCAGCCCACGCGAGGCACTGCAGCGGGGACACGCACCCCGCTGCACCCACCGCCGCCGTGCCGGTGGAATGGGCATCCAGCCGCGAGCGGATACCCGCTGCGTGCATCAGTTATCCCAACAGTCCCGCTGCTATTACAGTTTAATCTGATGGGAGAAACCAGGACTAGGAGGTGGTTGCTCTTTCGGTTGGGTCTGGATGGGGAAAGCCTTCAGGCGACTCCCCAGCACCTCTTGCATACAGTTTCCTAGGTTTAGCTGAATTATAAACTTCTAAAACCCACCCTATTCAACATTGCGTAGACAACATTGTAAGAGCAGAATTCTCTGGACTAATTCTCCTTAAAAGCTGTCATTGCTCCCGTTTTGCAGGTGAGCCTGTTCTAGAGTTATAGGAATGGCAGCTGGGGAGAAGCTGGAGCCCCCCGTACCTCTGACATGGCGAAGGCTGCCCAGTGCCTGCCAGACCTGATGCACCAGAGCTCTGTCTGCCACATCGTGTCCAAATCTGCTAGGAAGTGATTCAGTGAGAAGAGCAGCTGGGAAAAGGCTTGTTTCCCGGTGCCCTTGTAAATCGCTCCTGCTCAGTGCATTGAGGGACCCCCAGGAAAAGCCTTCGTGCCACCCCCTCCTCCTGCTGCTGGGGGGCTGCCTGGCCTCCGTGGGGTGCCAGGGGCTTGCCGTGCCGGTGCTGCCCACAGGGATCCCGGTGCCTCACCACCCCGCAGCCGGGCCGTGGTTTTCATTTGGTATTTCATTTTGTGGCTGATTTTTCCGAAATGTCGAAAAGAGGAAAAACGTGAATGCAATAACAGGATTGCCCACGTAAGCTTAGTCTGGTCAGTTTGGGTGCAGAAGTGTGTGATTTGCCAGCCTGCCCGGCTGCGCGTCTGAGGTGCACCGGGTTCATGCAGATTACTGGGGAAGTGCCTGCTGCAACTATCTCCAGGCAGAGGCTCACCTGTTTTGTTTTGTTTTTTTTAACTCAACTATGCCATAGTTTGGTTTCACACCACAAGCTGACCTGCACCAGAGGGAAAGAAAACTGTAGCTCAGTGTTGGATGGTGTGTAGCACTTAGAGGTTGTAAGGATGCACAGGGCAGCGTGTTCTTAACACGGGACGGTTAGCTGTGCCATTCCCACACCGCGCTGCCAGACCTGGGAACGAGGAGCGGAGCGCCCGGAGTGCCCGTTCCCGGCTGGTGGGCTCCGGAGCTGCGGAGGGCTGAGGAGGGCAGCCTGCAGGCTGCTGAGGAGAGCTGGCATCATCGTTGCTGGCTGAAGGCAGGCAGCACGCTCTCCAGATGTCAGGCTGCTGCTTTTCAAATCAGATGTGTACAGCACCCCAGCCGAAGCACCCAGGGCATGAGTGGACTTGTGCTTCCCGGAAGAAATTTGCTAAACTCTGGGAAAAGTGTCTCAGCAAAAAGAGGGACATACAAGTGCTTCCTGTAGGTGACCTGTACTTTCTAGATAGACTGTTTTCTTGACAAGTGTTCTGTGCTTCTGCAAAAGTGTATGAGTGACAGAGCCCTCTTTCTCCTCCACAGCAAACTCTGCAGCAGAAATGGGTGGAGTTGCGCTCTCTGCTCTTACAGGAACAGCGCTTGCTGCACGGTACGTCCTCGTTTCCGGGTAGGAAACCGCAGTGCTGCTGAGTCCTTCTGCGGAAACGCTGTCTGATCAGAAGAAAGCAATTCTTTAATCTGATTTTCATTTGCTTTCTTTTTCTCCTGTTAATGAAGGCGTGGGGCTGGCCCTGGGAAAGCTTTTTTCCTGGGAGTGATGAATTTGGCTGCTGCTTGACCAATGCAGACCAAAGGCTCTTTTGCATGAGTACTAGGAAAGGAGCTGATGTGGGCTGCAAAGCTTTTTTCCATTCTTATTTTGGACTTATCAGGGGAGAGTTTTGTTCGGTTGGTTTTTTTAGTGGGTTGCCCAGGAAGCAGATTTGATTCTGCATGTGGGGGAAGGCAGGGGCAGAGAGCACCCCGAACCGGGAAACAGCTTCCCCCGAGGGGAAGGGGCTGCTCCCTACCCTGAGATGCCAAGGGTGTCCTGCCCTCCAGCCTTGAGCCGATGCCGGTAAATAATGCTCCCCTTTGGTTTCTGCTTCCAGGGGAGGTGAACGACAACGCTCTGCTGGGCGCGCTGGAGCTGGAAGAGTCCAGTTTGCCTGGTGGCTGCAGCACGCCGGGACCCCTCTTCCCAATAAATCCTCGCTTCTCCAGCGAGAGCAGCTCCCGCAGCCGGCTGAGCTCGATGACTGTGGACAGCGAGGACAGCTTCTACCAGAGCGGAGCCTTCGAGGATTCGGCTGCAGAGAGCCTGAGCCGCCAGTCGAGCGTGGATGATGACTGCTTCTTCCCCAGGGACGGGGACGGCGCTGCCGGGAGGTCCTCCCTGCGGAGGAACCGCAGCATCAGCCTGGCCAGCAGCGGGTCCATGTCCCCGCTCTGGGAGGGGACCAGCTTCACCAGTAGTTTTGGGACCCTCCCGCGGAAAAGCAGGAGATCCAGTGTCCGAAAGCATCTTTTGAAATTCATTCCAGGCCTTCACCGGGCGGTGGAAGAGGAAGAAAGTCGGGTCTGATGTCGCACGTGTCACCCCTGATGTCTGGGGCTCTGCCCGCGGGACAGCTGCGTGGCCTGGGACCGAGGGCAGCAGCTCACCCAGAGGCACGCAATGAGCGAAGCGTGGTGGCACTGCACGGCAGTCCTCCGGACAACAGCACTGATGCTATTTAAAAAGCTCTGGGTTGTTTAATTATTTCAATTTTTGATCAGAGCACACGGTGGACCTCTTCGTTAATGTGAAAAGTGACTAACTCTGAAATGTGAAGAACATTTGCAGAACTTCCTCAGCATACTTTAGTGTTAATAACAGTTTTTAATTGAATGCAGAAGTGATAGCTATTTATTTCCTGTTACCGAAGTCATAGTCTTCCAAAGAAGGTCTTTAATAAAGCAAGTGCTTCTACTAAAACCAGTGACAGAGTCCCATTAGAAAGAAGATGGAGCCCAGAGTGTATGACACAGAGAGACCCTGGGCAGTAGCGTTTTGAAACGAAGGGCAGAGATTTACCTGTGGTTTGCGGTGGGTGATTTTACATGGGTGTGCTGGAGCGGGCCAGGAGCACACTTGCCAACTCCCCCGGCTCGTGCGTGGCCGTGGTCAGGATCTGTGCCGGCCGTTTCACTGCGCGGCTGCCTGCGCCGGTTCCCGCTGCCGGTGCAATGCCCTGAGCCGCTGCTGCTGCTCGAGGATGTGCACGCTCGATATGTGTGTCTGAAAAAGAAAGGGTGAACTCCACAATCCACTTCCCAGTCTCCAAAGGAGGGATCGGTTCCCCTGGTGAGTCGTGATGACAGCATCGATAGACAGATTTACAAAGTAAACGCCGGCTGCCATCACTTTCGCATCTCTTAGCAGTCATTGTATAAACCCTGCAATAACCCAGTTTATCAGTTGTGACCTGACCAGCTGCAATCTCTGCCACTAGCTGATATCCCATGTCCTGCCAAGCCTGCCCTATTCCAGGGGATTTGGAATAGAAAGGACCCCCCTGAGCACGCACGCAGCCTCGGGCTCTTCTGCTGTGCCAGTGCACGGGAAGCCGTGGGCATCTGTGCGCTCCTGCCCCGAGCAGCTCCGTGTGTCCGGAGCAGGGTGTGCCGGTCACCGTGCACCCGTGTGGGCTCCTGTGTCAAACGTGGGAGGAGCACGATGGAGACCACCGGCAGCTTTTCTCTGCAGTGCCTGACAGCCTCGCTAGAAACAGCATTTTCTGCATGGTGTCAGCTCGGTAAGAGTCACCGGAGTGCTGGGGTCTCACCGCACCCCCGGAATTTTACCAGGTTTGAGAAAATACTCGTCCTCTTACAATGATGTAACTATATAGCTTAGATCAATATGAACTCTTCTAAGGTGAGAGGAGTAAAGGCAGAGGATTGTCCTGCCCGGACAAGCAGGATTGTTCTGTGCCAGGGAGTGGTGGCAGGTTGCGCTCTGGGGACCCCCAAGGAGGGCTGTGCCTGGGACCCGGTCCCTCTGCAGTCCTGGGGGCGGCGGCACATGCCCCTTGGCCTGGTGTTCCCACAGCTTGTTGGCAGGAAGATCATCAACTGTTTGCATTTCTTCAGGAGCAGAGACTTCAGGCAGTAAGATTAACTTGATAGCTTATACAAAGTGATTTAATAAATACGGGTGTAAATGTGACGAAAAAGAGAAATTTTATTTCCCTCTCAGGCAACACAGAAATAGGCTGTTTGTTTAGCCCGAGCGACCTGATTATGCTTTTCAAATACAACTGGAAGAAATTTAAATATAATTTAAATACCTTGTGTGACTCATTTGTCTTTTGACCAAGCAGACCATGCGGTTGTTTACCATTCAGATACTGCTGTGGCAGGATTTCCTGGTCTTTTCAGAAACCTCAGGTTAAACCCAATGGCTTCCCTCTGAGATGAACCCCAAATAAAAACAACCTGTTCCCAATACTCCTCTAATTAATGAACGTTGCTAAGCCAGCAGAATCTGTACTGGCGTCTGTAATTTCTCTTAAAAGGATTAAGTAGATGGTAATATGGCAAGGCTCTGGGAGAGCTGGAGGGCAATCAGGAAAGCAGCTCACGAGGTTTTCTGCGTATGGGAATGATGTTCTGTCCGTGCTGCTGAGCCGAACACCTGCAGTTCAGCCCATGGGCCCCTCTGCCGTCAGCTCCTGCCCCAGCCCCTGGCCGCGGAGGTGGGCTTTGGTCTGACACCTGCACAGAGCCAAAGCTGAGCTGTCACCCCAGGCTGGGGCAGCTCGGGTGCTGGTCTGGGCTGTGGAGCTCATTGCTAGACATCGAGTTTTTTGCCTGTGATTTGCTGTCTCAAGATAGGGTTTTACTTTTCTTTGCCAATAACACCAGCTGAAAAGAGAAGAAAAAAAAAAAAGTAGAGGTTATTACTATTTGGATAAACTGTGGAGTTCAAGGCAGATATATGGGTGTCTGAAAGCAGCTGGTGGGCACCAGAAAATCTGGTGAACATTGTCGTGGTGCCCCAAAGAGACCAAACAGCTCCAGCACTTCAAAAGGGACCTTAAACTCAGTCACAGGTTGCATGTAGGACCCTTGGCTCCAGCTGCCAGACTGACAGCCGAGGGAAGAGTGGTATCCATCACCAGCTTGCTTGCAGAAGCATGTGGATGTTTCCACCCAGTCTAAGTCTGGCATGTTGCTGGACGTGGCTGTGGGTGGCCGGCGGTGCCTTCCTCCTCAGGAGTGGGAGCACTCCTCTCTCTTCCTGGCCAAGGAGTATTTGGACCCACGACTGTGGCATGCATTTGTGTCAGAAGACAAAATATTCCTACCCTGACGTGTCTGACCGGAGGGTTGAAGCTTTGCCCAGCGGTGCTACGGACTCTTTCACTTGGGTGAAAATCAGTGCATGCCCAAAGCCAGGCCAGAGCTCTTTGCCTTGGTGAGCGTGGGCTGACTGGTTTGCAGAGACTGATAAAAACGTGTCAGCCTGACTAGGGCCTGCTCCGCTTCTCCCCCTACAGGTCCTGAATTAAAGTTTCCTTTTGCCTTCGTTGCAGCTGGTTTATAGAGACCCGGTGGCAGAGGTGGGACTGGACAGGGTGCCTTGGTCACAGCCTACATCCTCCACCTGGTTTTATGGAGGGGGAAAAAAACGGGTATGAACTCTACTCCCCAAGGCTGCGTCTCTGGTGGAAATTAGTGCAGCTTTATGGTCCAAAGCAGTGATTCCTTTTGGTACGGAAGTTAATTTGACATAACTTGGGAGACAGATGCTTGCTTTTAGCATGGAAAGGCTGAACAAGCCTGGACACCCGACAAGCTTAAGAAAGGCCAAATAGATGATGCTCTTCCCATGATGGCGGGAGCATGGTTTGGTTGCTACAAGACGACAACCTGAGATGTTCACGGCCACGATCAAAAACAGGATGTGGGTGACAGGCGGGCTCTGTGGGGCCGCTGCAGCGGGCGTCGAGATCAAGGGTGCCCCAGCCTTCTGAGGGGAGGAAGGAGGTCGTGGGCAAAGGAAAGAGCTCAGAGAGCAGAACGAGCGAGAAAGCTCTTTCAACGTGGCATTTCTCCTTGCGGAGAGCAATCTGGAAGGTTCCCTGCTCTGCCTCCCGGGAGTCGAGGCGGGAGAAGGCTGTGCGTGCGGGCAACGCTGTGTGGTGATGCTGTGGTCCACGGGACTGGGACTCCAAGCGATGTGTGTGGAAGGTGCTCTGGACCGTCAGCAGAGGAGTTGTTCTCACTGATTGTGGGGGCGTTGAAGGGTTTGCTTGATTTCCTAACAGGCAAGGGATTACCTTTTCTCTTCTTATCCCATATGGATAAAGAGGGCAACGTGAGTTTACTGCAGAAGTGTGGCTGCTCTGAAGAATGCAATTCCTTTTTAAACTTAAAACTTAATTTGCTGAATGCTACTGAGCCTCACCTTGTAAGGGTTCTTAACTGCTTAATCAGGTCTTGCCCAGTGCCCAGATCTGGGCAACCCGTCCCTGAACTCAAGACGCTGCATCAAATATGGGCAAGGCACCGTCATGGCACTCAGCCCCTGGGTTAGCAGCAAACAAGCAGAAAACCCCCTTGAGGCGAGGGGAGTATTTGGGTCCTAAATCTTTCAGCTTGATTTAGTGCAGCACGGAGCGGGCTGAGGCTCCTCCAGCGCAAGAGCTGGCAAAACCTATTTGCTTTAGCAGCACGGCCTCACGGGGCTGGCTTTGCACCGGCAAAGGGGCAGGTGTGATGCGGGGGGATGCTCGGCTGCTCCTGGGATGCAGGCATGGTCCCTCTGCTAAACGCCCTGCTGTTTTGCCAGCACTGATCGTGGGCATCGCAGCCATGTTTTCCAAGGGCCTAGAAATGCCTCTCCTGCTGCCCTGAGACCGATTCACCTCGTTCATGCTGGCTTGCAACTCTCCAGCCAGACTTACTGCAAAGGTCATAAAAAAAGGGCATCTCGGGGGTTTTTTGCTGGCCTCTCTTGGCCTATAATTTCTACTGTGAAGTTTTTTTCCACAAAACCATGAAACAGGTTGTGGCTTCTGCTGGGAACATTTCAAATCCAGTGGAAAATCGTTCTGGCTTCAAGGCTGTACTAGCCTGCAAAAACTCTCCCCTCGCACATTAGAAGTCCAGCCCTGGAAGCTGCTGAAATGCGTGAGGAGTTCCTGCATTTCTCTGTCTGACCCATGTTTCTGCATGTGCTGGGTTTTGCTCCGTTTCAGTAGTGCTCAGAGCAGGCAGCTATCCTGTCAGTGACCACTTTTCTGCATGCTTTTCAGGGATGGCTGTGTTTCTGCAATTCTGCTCTGCCAATTTCTGCTTTCGTACCTGACATTTCCTTTCTCATGCAGCTTTTTTAGAAATTTTCATATGTAGCAGCTGGTTGCACCCAGTTTTCGTAGCATTGAAAAGAAGATCACGAAACGTAGTTGTCACGGGTGACTGAGTTTGTCCTGCCTGCCACTGCAAGGCAAAAGGGAAGTACACCTTAACATGTATAAAGCCAAGAATTTATTGCTATTGCTGTGCTCCCAGCACAGACCTTTTATTTTGTTACAACAGTAACCTGCTTGTTACTGCTGTCTGCATAAAACTGCAGTTGTGCCACACACAGATAAGCAAAAGTAAAGCAAACTCACCATGGGCACCCGGTCGGTCACAGAAATCCCTGTCGCAGCTAGACCAAGCCAGCAAAGCCCGGACAGAGCCCGTCCGACCAGCCCCAGCGCTGAGGCCTTGCAAACTTGGTGCAAAGCTGATGGCCTGTGACAAGGGACGGCAATGCCAGGCTGCTGCCATTAGCAATGCCGGGCTGCACGGCTGGGAAATGCCTCGCTGGCACCCACGGGCAGGTGGGGACAGGAGCTTCTCCAGCGCAGACCGAAGCATCCAGGAGAGCAGAGAGCAGGGCTATTCTGGCGATGCTCTGCTCGGGGAAAGCTCTGCACCCTGAATTGTTTTCGTACAGTTTGGCTCTTTCAGTGCAGGCTTTTTTAAAAGCTTAAAGAGGCAGAAATCACACCACCTCAGGTTTGTGCAAATGAAATGTTTTCCTAGCCTTGAGAGGTGGTTTTGCCCAGCTCTGTTTATAAATAGCTGCCTGCAGTGGGAGGAACCTGCAGCTACTTTTTCCTTTTCCCAAGTCCAGCTATGAACTCTGCCTGCTTAAAAATACAGCTGGGGAAGCTCCAGCATCCGAGCAGCTTCCAGGCTCTCAGCCACCGCGATGATCTGGGGGTGGCGGACAGCCCCTCAGCTCCTGGAGACGGTCTGGGGAGAACAACCTATGCAGGCAAATGCCTTCAAACAGGCAGGAGCTGCTCTCCCCTCATCAGTGAACCCTTTGGGCTCCTTGCACGGTGTTTGCCAGGAAGAAAGCAGCAGCTGCCTATTGGTAACACTGTCAAAACTTGAATTACTCTGCATGTGCCCATGGTTTGTAACTAGCATGCCCTTGCCACATCACTCTGGCATGTATTCCTGTTTTCCAGAGGAAACACGCTGCTCCTCCCGCAGCTCCCCTCCGAAGCCAAGCGTGGCCAGCAGGAGCGTCGGGGCAGCAGCAGCATCCCAGCCCCGAGGACGTGCCAGGGCTGGCTGGTGCCTGACATAGCTCTGCCGGGGGGGACGCCTGTGTTTCTGCCTTTCCTTTCATTCCTCCGCTGGGTGAAAAGTTAAAATTCTGACGCTTTCTATAGAAGAGGAGTCCCAAGGTATGTTTTTTTCATAAACATAAGGTATTTATCTTTCTGACAAAATGGAAACGCTTGACTGTAGTTTGTTGGCATGATCCACAGGAGTTTTCCTCTGGGTGTCCAGGTGAAATGTAATCCCTCCTGGCTGTGTGCCGTGGTGGGAACGTTTGTCTCCATTGCCACCATGCTGGGCTTTCGGGTGGCACTGCATCTCCCATGGTGACCCTGTGTTATGTGGCTTCTGCTCTAGAGCTGCTCTGGTGCCCGTGCTGCCCTGGGCAGCCAGGTGTGTGCACGAGCTGCTCCTGGAAACCTGTCACCGGAGCAGAAATTGGGGAGCAGAGAGTCAATGACAGAGGAGCCGACAGAGCTCTGCAAACACCCTGCAAACACCTTGCTGTGGCAGCCTCTTCCTATTTCTGGAATGAATTGGAATTGCTGTGGCTCTAATGATTCACCTCATCGACTTTCAAATCCCTGTTGTGCCCCAACGCCTCTGAAATCCCAGGTGCTATTTCTGAATTGTTAGCAAAGGATAGCTCAAACGGAAACTTCCTGCGTTAAAGGTCACACGGAAAATGATTTATAATAGATTCATGCAAATTGTGCTTTGACCACAAGGTGCTCATTTGGGAAAGCGTGAATTTTCGAGAATTGGTTGTGTAACCAATAGATGGCACCAGGAAATACCTAAAATTGTTTCAGTATCTTTTTGCAATCAAGAAGTCAGGCAGGCAGGTTCCTGGGGAGATGGGGACAGGACCTGTCCCCTTCCCTGTCCCTATGGGAGCCGATGTGGCCGATGTGGCTCCCGGGTCAGCAGGGCTCCCTGTTGTCGAGCCTGGTGCCATGTTTTCAGCTTCGGGTTATTTCAAATTTGAAGCCTGGCTGGTAGTTTGCCCTGCACTCGAACCCTGGTGCAGGATTTGTGCTGGCTGCGACGACCGGGGTGCGGTGCCTGACCCGGGGCGGCCGTGGCCCCTCGTCCCTGTGCGATGGCCGCATCCCTGCTCTGCCCTCGCGTCTGCCGCCGGGTCAGTGACGAGCCGTACTGGTCCATGCGGGGCCAGTGGGGGGCACAAAGCGAGACGTGAGGGTGCGGATGGGCAGTGCGGGCGTCCGGCTGCATCTCAGCTGATGCGCCCCGGGTCGGCGCTGCTGCTGCTGTTGCCGACAGCTCAGTGGTCTCACGGGTACCTTTACAGCACAGCCCCGAGCTGATGGTGCAGCAGGGATGCTCAGGTAAGTCCCAGCCGTGAAAACTTCTTCAGCGGTGTTTCCACATGGAGGAGAACGCTGGGGACAGGACCTGTCAAATGAGAAATCACCTGCAGGGCCCTTTGGATTATCCCAGGGATATGGAGATAGCTTGATAAGCATAGAAAGTAACTTTCTCCTCTCCAGGCACTGTATTGTGCTGGGTATCCAGCCTCTCGCCATCAGCCTGTGCCGGGTGCCCAGCCTCTCCTCCTGAGGGCACCTACCGCTGCGTGTTGTCCACTTACTTTCAAACCTCACCATCCATTTTTCTTGGACAAATTTTTCCAGCATAGGGTTGATTTTTATAAATCAGTTACACCAAACTAATTGTCATAACAACGATGAAAAGTTGTTGATTTAAAGATGCAAGCTCACAGATGAACAAGACCAGTGGAAAGGCTTTGGATCCATTTCTAATCAAGGTCTGAACTCAACAAGAGGATTTGCAAATCCTAAAGCCCAAAGATGTCAAAAATGTTGTATTGTACGAACACAACAAGTCATTCACAGCAGGAGATTACAGTCTTACGTAAACCTGGCTTCGGGCACCAGGGTTGAGACGAGTTCAGCTACGGTCAGAAAATGCCCTGGTGCTGCTCGGGCGATCCTCCTGCTTCCCTCTGTAAAATGTTCCCCTCTTGCTCCTCCTAGCTTTAGGTCCAGCTGGTAATTACTGGTGCAAGTGCTAATCTCATCCCTTGCCCCTTTGTTATTCCTTTAAAGAGAGTTTCTGCTGCTGCGGCCAGAAGCTGCTGCTGCAAAAGGGGGTTGTGCTGTGGGTGGGAAGGGGAAGCTCTGCGCCGACCTGCCTTGGGCGCTGGGGGGGTCCCGCTGGGGTGTCAGCAGGCAGCAAGCGCCCCGTCGCCTGGCTGGCTCGGCCTCGGGGACCTCGGTTCATGTCTCGTCCCAAAGTGTCGCTTTGGCTCGTGCTTTTGGTGTTCATCCTCCAGTTCTGTCCCTGAGGGCCGAGCCCTTGAGATGCGTTTCACTTAGCAGGTAGCTGCAGATGCTCGGCATCTGGCAGGATGTGGCCCCGGCCGGGCGAAGGCTGGTGCGGCCGAGGAGCGTGGCGTTTCGCCATGTGCAGGGCATGTGCCCTTCTGACCGGCCGGTTCGTTCCCTGACAAGCGCAAAATGCGTTCATTGTCCGGGCAGCGGCACGGCGAGGTTTATCGGCACACAACCCGATGGGGAATGTTAAGCGGGTTAGGTGGCAGCAGCAGCGCTATGGAAGGTGGTCACCCTCCCGGGATTAGAGGTCGGAACAATTGTCGTCCCTGTGACCAGGCGGAGACACAAAGAGCCATTGTGCCGGGAGTACAAAATCTCTGTTTATTACCGCGGGGCTGACATGCTGAAAGACCCGCTCTCCATGCCAGCACAAAAGCTTCCTTGCTTCAGATTGTTTGTTTATGTAAATTAAAATGGTGCATTTAATTATGCAACGGGACGAGCCTCAGCAACAAGCGAGGTGCTGATTGGATCGCCCCGTGGCCAGAGCCCGCCGGCAAGCCCTCGGCACATCTGATGGTGCGACCGCGGACCCTGCTCTGCCGCAGCACCCGCGGGAGAGGAGACGCGCCTTGACCGTTCGCTCAGGGGAACAAAATCCCCGGGGGAGAAGGGGTGAGGAGTAGCGCTCCCCACCCCGGGGTGCAGGAGCGGGGGCCCCGGAGGTCCACGGCCCCGGTCAGCGGGCACGGCACGGCCCTAAGCATGACAGAAGAAGTCCCAGCGGCATCCGGCATGCCCGAGTGCAACGGGAGCGTACCCCTGGAGAAGGGCCCACTCCAGGTCATCGGTGTCATCGACGAAATAGCAAAATCTGTCGGGACGGTTCCTTACGTGAATGCAGAAACGAGCCCCGACGCTCCACCGGCAAAAGAAAATCGGGAGGAAAATAGAAATTCGTTGGCAGAGGACATAGTTCCTGGGGATTTTGATGGAGGGAAGCAATGCGAAGGTAAAGTATGAGGCTGCCTTTCTTTAAGTGCTTGGAAAGAAAAAAGCTATTATTTTATGTATAGCCTTATGAATAATGGCGTGTACTATGTCTGTTAGTCAAAATTCCTAACCTATGGTAGTTGTAACAGTGACTCAGAGTAATTCAGATTTAGGGACAAATTTGAGCTAGCAGTTACACAGGATGTGATGAAAAGTATGTAACTAAAGAAACAAGCAATTTTTTTAATCCGCTCTGAAAATCTGCTGCCAATCTGTGACTGTTAAAACCTAATTATCATCACTAACTGCTCCGTCAGTCCATTTCTTGTGCTTTGTATTTCCTAAAGAAAAGCGAGAAGAAAACAATGGGACACTACAGCAGGGATCAGCTGATATCCAGGACACAGGGACCGACGGCCAGGACTCAGAGGAAGGTAATGGAAAATGCTGTGTGATGTGAGGTTTTCCTGAAGCATAGCGATGAGTAGCGTTCAAAGACAATCACATACAGGTGGTTATTATTTTTTTTTAATTCGGTCAGACCCTTATATTCTGGAGAGACTCATTTCTCATCCATAGAGTTGCTGCACCTTAGAAAACATGTCTGGTATCTTTTTTCCTGAGGTTTGCACGAATCTCCATGACCGTGGGGTATCAAAGCACCGTGGGGTCTTCGACCAGGAGGTCTCCAACAGCCTTGTGAGGCTGGGAGGTGCTTTATCTTCTGCTCCATGCAGGGGAGCTCAGAGGATAACCTCGGGAGGCTGTCAGTCAAAAATGTATAGCCTCAAAACCCAAACTCTTTTCCTCCCTGATTCACCAAGTGTCTAAATCCCCCCAATGCCCAAGCATCTAGCAGAAAATTGCTCTCCTAAATGTCTGCTCCTGGGTCTCTCTCTCCTCATTCTGGGGTGAAAATGGTAAAAATCAGTTGGAGCCAAGGCTGGACCTCGCACCTGCCTCCTGTGGTGAGCGGAGCTGCAGGGGTGCGCTCGCTGCCCGTCCCCAGCAGCAAGTTAAAATATATTGCATATATATACACACATAGATGAACTTATTTAATTATACTATGCAAAATGCAGCCACTCCTTCAGAAAGGAGTATTTTGTTGAGTATTATTAAAGGAGGAAAGCTATGTCTCTCCATGGGTGGGCTTTTGTCATTGCTGCCCTTCCATGTTTCCCACCCACGGGCTCTTGCCCAGCTCGTCGGTTTTAGCAGCGGTGGGAGAAGGGACGGCTGGGCCGTGGGCTGCTAATGATGTTTTCCCCACCACTGACTGGGACCACGGCAGGGGCACAGGGCTGGTGGCTCTGCCCCACTCCCCAGCACCCGGCCGTGCTGGGTCCCTCCTGTCATTTACACATCCATTTGGCCACAGTAAGTTGGTATTTTCTATACATCAGCTCCACATAAATATGAAACCCCTCTTCGGAGAAGAGCAGATTAACAACCCAGAGTAGCTGTCGCAGTCCCAGCAAAGCAGCGCCGTCGAACATAGCTCTAAAAGATGTATGGGCCATGCCCCGTAAACAGAAACTTTGCTTTGATTAAGAAAAGGAAAAAATACACGAACATTTGTCATGGGCAAAATAATATATCATAGCAACTGCATAGGTTGTGAGGAGGTGAATCATGATGGAGGCTTTCCCACTTGGAGCTGACATCCATACTCCAGCTGTGTTGCTTTATGAGTGCACAATAAAACCTATTAAATGATCTTGCACAGCCCCCCCATGGTCGTCGTCCCCCCCAGCCACAAGCACTTTATCTCTAAATTGCAGGCAGCTTTTTAGTACCTAACCAATTTAGTCTAATTAATACTCAGGACCCCACAGGCAAAATGTTGAATAGACCATTTGTTGTGGCACTAAAGCATCATTTAACGCAGAGACACGCCAACCAGGACAAATAGGAGATAGCTGTCTCAGCCTGGTTGGCCACCTCTGAAGGAGGGACGGGTCCCAGGAGGGCTGTGCCAGGGTCCTGCTGCATCCCCGGCATGGCCGGGCGCTGCGTGGAGAACGGCTCCCTCCATCCCTCCCTTCTTGCCCCGCACGTCGGGCAGAGCCGGCACGGAGCACCGAGCCGTGGGGAGACGGGACCCTCCGGTCCCATGGTGGGATCTGTCCCGCAGGGAGCGGGGGCAGCAGCTCCGGAATGGGGAGTTTGGCTAATTGAGCCCAAGGCGATAACCAGAGAGCTTTGGGAATGCCGTTTGGAAAGGCACCACAGCAGGGCCCTGCAGTGGGATGCTTGCCAGCCGTGGATCCGAGAGGGCAGGAGCAGATCTGGTGCGTGCAGGGAGGCAGTGCCTCTGGTCCTGGGGCGCAGGGGGGATGCTGTGCCCCTCTTCCCTCCTCGAGGCTCGACCACTGGCATCTGCATCGCCTCTCCTTTTAAAGGAGGGTAGCGGGGTGGGCTCCGTGGGAAAGGTGGTACAAAAGAGACGGGTGTTAAAAAATGCAAGGGCAGGTGGCCTTAAGGAATGAGTCTGAGAATGTACAAAGCCTTTCTAAAGCACATGCGAGCATCTGTGGTGATGGGGGTTCAGCCTGGAGATGTGGGTCTCTCCTCGCTGGGCAGTCTCTGGAGGATGGGTGTCTTGGTGGCCAGAGCTGGTAGGTCACCAGGAGCGATGCTACATTAAGAGCATGTATGACGGAGGCACGAAGGCGATGCTGAGCCCGTCCTCACCCACACTCCCTCTGTGTTGCTGCAGGGCCAGGCGGCGAGGGGACGCCTGTGGGCAGCGGGGAGCGAGAGCTGGGGACAGCGGCTGGCCCCGGTGGGGAGGTGGCGGAGACCCTCGCGGCCAGCGCCGAAGGGAGAGGGAATGCAGCCGAGGAAGAGGAGGAGGAGGAGGCGGCGGGGGAGGAGGAGGACACTGAAGAGGATGAAGTTCAGGTGATCGAAATCAAGAAGAACAGCGAGGAGTCCCATCCCAAGCAGCAAGACAGTGACAAGGAGGCATCTCCCGCGACCAGCCCCGGCTGCAACTCCCAGGTGGAGAAACTGGGGGAGCAGCCCAGCCTGGGGAAGAAAAATGATATCTCCAGACACAGCTATTCCAGATACAACACAATCTCCTACCGGAGGATTAGAAAAGGAAACACCAAACAGCGAATCGATGAATTTGAATCCATGATGCACTTATAAACTGAGGTGGAGAGTTGCTTAACAAGCCAAGCGTTCACTCTGGTTTTTGTTTTTCTTTTTTGTTTCCCCCAAGACATGTCTCTTCACACAATGTGAGGTCACTGTTTTTTTCCTTTTTGTATATGATTTCATAATACACTGTGAAAATTTAACATCTTCGCTTTGACAGTGGGCAGAGGCATCCATAGCGCAGGAAAATAAATAATCAGTTTGCTAAATATAATACCATTTGATTTAAAGTTTATCCTCTTATTTTCTGTCCAACTTTTGTAACCATATTCAAACAATAGGATGTCTTGAGCTGGCTGGGGCTTCTCTAGCTGCCGACACACACGTGACCCATGCCGTCAGCTATGCTGGTAATGAGTTGGCAGCGCAGCAGCTCAGTGACACTGGCCAGGGCAGTGTGAATAATAAAAGAGACGACTGTTTGCAACTGCAGTGCGCTCTGTTTTGCCGTCCGTCCGTGCTGGCATCTCATGGTGCACTGACAGCCGCCTCCTGCTAGCGACCATCCATTTCCACCTTGTGCTGGTGGGATGGAGGGCTATTTGCATTCGTGGGTAGATGCTGATGTGCAGGAACTAAAAAAGAGATGGGAGGGCATCAAGGCTCCTGTTCCCTCACTGCCATCCCTAACACCTCCCGTGGGTAGCCGGATTCCCTGCGCAGCGCTGTAGCCAGCACCAGGTAGGATCGGTACCATCCGCTGGCCCCTGCCTGTCGGGGTGAGAGGAGTCAGCGTGGACGTCTTTAGGCACCATGTCGCCTGCCCGCCGCGGTCTGCACCGGCAGCAGAGCCTTCCAGCCTGCCCGTTCTGGGTGCTAACGTGAAACCACGGGTGCAGCCGGCCCAGACCGCTGCCGGCGACAGCGCAGCTCCTCTTGCCCACCGCCTTCCCTCCTCGCTGCTGCTGCAGCCCCCCAGCCCCGATGCCGTGGACCCCCATCCAGCCCGGGGGTGGCCGTCCCATGGGGCCGCCGGTGGTGGCCGGCCGTGGCCCCCGACCCCCCAAACCTGGGGCAGAGGCGCCTGTGGGGAGGTGGTACCAGTGACTGGCTTACACGCTGCCTGCAGTGCGCGGCACGTGCCTGTGCGTGCTTCGGTGTTCACCTGGCAAAACCAGCCACTACCAGAAACCTGTATTTTCTGAATGGCAACAGTTTAGAATCTCTTACGTGTCTTCTCGATTCTCATGCTAAGTTTAGACGCAATTTTTTAAAGATTTTTTTTTTTTTGTCAAAGCCAGGCAAGTTTTATGCGTAATTTGTTTTTGTGTCATCTGAACACAACTTTCTCCATTTTTAAAAACCTTTGTGTAACTACAGTATTGTTGATGCAGTCTTGTTTTAGCTATTTTACAGCCAGATTTGTCTTGAGTTGGGACTAAGCTTTGCAAATGTCATCCCAGAAAGCATCTGGGAAAGTTGAGAGCAGCTGACAAAGGGAGAGGAGGTAAGAACAAAGTTAGACTCTGACTTCAGCTGCAGTGGCCTCCTTCAGCCATAAGCGCTTTTTTAAGGATCAGTTTTACATCTCGAGCAGCACTGAATATCGTTTTGACTTTTCTTGTTCTACATAAAGGCAATTATTTATTGGCAACGTGAAAATAATAAATGGCAATTCTGTATTGTACAAACCAGACACAGCCCTCATTGTGCTATTCAGACTTGTTTATTTGCTCTTTGGTTTGTGGAAGTTCAGAGGTTTGCTTGTATGAACTTATACTGTGGGTTTGTTTCCCTGCTGACAGTTGCCCCCCCATCGCCCCTCTCGCAGCGGTTCCTGTAAGAGCAGCACATTTCTCTTAAAGATGTGACCATCGCCTGGGCTTTCGGTGACTGGCAGAGGTTGAGGGTGGCAAAGCGCTGCTCCGAGCTGACCAGCCTCAGCTTCAAGTATCTTCATGCCCACCGACCACTGACTGCCTCCCCACCACGCCGTCCGGCCCGATCTGCACTTCAGAATGCCGGTAACAAATTTGCTTTACTGCAGTTAAAAAATGCAATAGGGAAGAAAACAACAAAACCCCAAAGCCAAACAAAAACCAGAGATAAAGTGAGCAACTTTGTGCATTGCTGAGAATCTGGAGTTTTTAAGGCATTATATTGCGGTAAGGCTGGGGGCTGACGGGCAGTATCTGCCCGTGCCCTTCGGATCACCAGGACACGCGTGTGCTTGTGCCCGGCTCTGGAAACACCAGATGCGAGCACCCAGCTCGTGCTGATGACACAGCTGGCTTTCAGCAGCATGAGAGGCCAGGAAAAGCGGTCCGTACCACGGCAAAAGGCACGGGCTGCTGTAGCAGGTAGTCTTTGAAGAGGTTGGAGGGATCAGCACTGGGGCTGAGCGAGGGAAAGTCCCAGAACAGCGCAGACACTGATGGGATGCAAAGCCAGAGTTCAAGCACTTCCCCATGCTCTCCCAGGGTGAGGAGAGTGGTGGCAGGAGAGGCAGCAGTGTTGCGTGGCCAGACTGCTTGCTGTCACGATTCCCATCTCCTCCGGGGAATCGTCTGGGCAAGCCCTCAGCACCCAGGCATGAGGATCAAGCCTTTTGCTGGCCAGCCGGACACCCTCGGGCTCCCTCACATGGATGCACGGGCTGGCTGGGCCCCGTGCTCAGTTTAGCAAAAGGCAGATTTTTTTTTTTTTTTTCCTCTTTTCATCATATGCCTGTCTGTAGCAGTTTTTAACATTTGGCTTATACCCTAGGTGACAGTTAAAATACAGTTTCCAGACTTCTTGGGCAAGTGCAGGGATGAGATGCTTGGTGTACTGACTGTGGGCTCAGGTTCCAGCTAAGCATGGAGTCTCGGTGAGACTTTCAAGAAACTTGGACTAGTTTTTTACCTTCCTTGGAAAGCAGTGTTTGCTCAGCTGAGAACAGCAACTCCCTCTCTTGCTTTCCTTGGTAGCTGGAAAAATAAAATTGAAAGCCCCGGGATGCTCTAGGGACCTGAGGGCCTTTCCTACAAACACACCGCCTCTTGCCCAACCCTCAGGGTGGGTGGGTGCGATATGGAAATCAAGGGCTGTAGAGGCAATAAACAGGCAGAAACCGTGGCTTGCGCTCTGCTGCGGTGTGCTCGTCCTCTGCGCTGCAGGCAGCTGGCAGGCAGCACTGCCGGGGCTGGGGAGGACAGGGCAGGGTCTGCATCTGGCCAAAACCGTGGTCAGCGTGTCGGACGAGGCGCGTGGAGGAGCCGGGCAGAGAGCTGTCTGCTTGGCACGGAAGGGAGAAAGGACACCCAAAGACCTGAAAATTTGCCCCCTGGGGCAGAGGCGTTTTCAGGCAGAAAAGCAGGTGGGGGTGCTGATTAGGACGCGGTAGCTACAGACCCAGGCTTAGCCTGAAAATAATTTCTCCCCATTTCCACAGTGCCAGATGAGGGCTGATGGCAGGTAAGAGGTGGACCCTTCTGGAGGGTTGTGATGCCTTTCCACCCTCTCTGGACACTGCCACATAGTGCTGGCTCACTTTTGGGAGCCGTTTCTAGCAGTGCTGTGCAGTGAACTTGAATGTGAATTAAACCACTGGCAGAAACTTGCCAGTTGCCACAACATCTGCAGCAGCTGTGGGGCACAGCAGCCAGCACCAGCTATTGCCACTGCCTGCACTAATACCGCACTAAATGAGAATCCAAAGCACAGCCATAAATCAGGGGAAATTGGTGGTTTAAAGGGTCTTCCTGGGGTAATGTTTTGTGGTTCAGCCTGGCAATAACTCAGGCAGGAGAGCCCCTAGTAAGGGCCCAAGCTCGTCAGAAACAGAGTTAACACATGGGGCTCACCTATTATAATTTATTCCCTTTTGTTAAACTTTTTTTTTTTTTTTTTTTAACAAACCAAATGTGGCCTCCAACTGTGACCACTTCGATTCAGGGTACTTATTGATGGAAGCACAGCACAATGTGCCATGTCACCCCCTCCACCACAGCTCGGGAGGCATTTATTCTCATTTGGAAAAGCTGTGTCTGTTTCCCGTTGTCAACACCCGGGACAACAGTGGCTCCCGTCCCCAGCCCGAGTGGTGGTCCTTCCCACCCGTGGTGCCTTCCTCCTTTTCCTTAACGCTCACAAAGCCTGCACAGCCCCAAAAACCTCCCAATGCCCCGAGGTGCGATGCACACCCAGGTACCATCAGTGGAGATGGCCCAAGGAGGGGGCAGCTTGCCGGGGAGGAGCGAGACGCCTATTGCCACGTCTGCCGAGTGTGCTGGAAAAAATGCTCTCGTTTCTGGAAGACTAGACTGACTGGTACGATCTGAACGCTTCTCAATATTGTGCAGCAGCAGGGCCACAGCTCACTGCCAGCAGCCCTGAAGGCACGCTCCAGTCTTTAAGCAAAAGATACCAACTTTGGAAGTGAGCATTTACACAACTGGGGAATGAGAGTGCAAGTGACAAGCCTGGCAATGGGATGTGACCGTGACATATGACCATTTGGTGCCTAATGAGTGACAAGTGATTGAATGTCAGCAAACAGAATTTGATGAAATTCACGCTCCTGATAGAAGATGACTGCGCAAACAACATCTGTGTCATTTTTCTGATGGTGACTGTAGGCTAGCTGCGCTAAAGGAGGGAGACAAAATTAGGAAGACAGTTGGAATAGGAGCCAACTGGGAAAATCCGTTGGGCCAGTCAATATTTTGGCAGACTTGGCCTGTCACACGCTGTCAGCATTGATCCGCCACGTGAGAGGTAACATTATGCCGGGGCCTTCTGAGAAATCAAAGGAGAGGTATGAGGGGTTTGTGAACACGGGACGGTGGCGGCTCGGCTGCGATCAACAGCGGCGTGAGAAGCGAATGCGATGCTCAGCCCTGCATATCCCACTGGCTTGTGCTGGAGAGGCCCCTCGCCCCGGTGCAGGGCAGTGGGGCAGGAGGAGAAGCGCTACCTTCCCCAGCGACACCGCAGCTGTACGGGGAGCAGCCTCCCACAGCGGGAACTTCCTAATGGAAACGGGGAAAGAAATCCTGCCGGGAATGCATTGATCCTGCATCTCACTGTCCTGTCACAGCAGAATTTATTGTCCTATCAAATCTGTCCCTTCAAAAAAAAGTGGTGATGGCTTTTGGAGATAAAAAGTTTCGCAGCAAGAAGAAAATTTACCCGTGACAGTAAGTTCTGGTGTGCGGAGCCTGGCCATCCCGGGCTGCGCGGCGGCTGGTGCTGGGTGAGGTCTCGTCACGTTGCATTCACCTCTGCAATGGTCCCTGCGAAACGCATGAACACACACACGTGCATGGACACACACTTGTGTTCTGCAGCCCTTTTTGAGGAAAAGCCCACACTGAGTTCAGCGGGTGTTTTCAACCATCCTGAGCGCTGGTGGGCAGAAGTTTCAGGTTGTGAGACATCCTGATGGAGGTCTCTGCCCTCCCTCCGCCCACGGTGGGGACACACCACCATGGGGAGAGCTGCCCAGCCTGTGCTGCCGGTGGGTAAATCTTCCCTTGGGATGGCCTTGGCAGGAGCAGGGCAAGCTACCCTGCTTGGGGCTGCGCCGAGCATCACCAGGCTCTGGCACAGGCACCACCGTGACCCAATGCCCCAGCCGGCTGGGGGCCGAGGAAAGCGGCAGTGGTCCTGTGTGAGCCCCGAAAAAGCCACGGGGGCTCGGGGACACAGCTGGGGCCGCGGCAGCCCCGTGGTGGGGACAGCCCAGCTGCCCGCGGACACGATGCTCCCCAGCCAGCCTCTGGTGCGTGCTGCCGGCAAGAAGCAGGATAAGCCCCGGTCCTCCTCCCCGGCAGCTCCTCTCACCTCCAAGCAAAGCAAAGGCACACGTGTCCTCGCTGTCCTCAGGGCGCGGGCAAGGCGTGCTCGTTGCTTCTTCTGCAGCCCCCGGTTTACCTCATCTGCTGGGCGGCTTATCGACTCACATTTGCCTCCCATTATTAAAAGAAGGCTTTTTCGATAAGCAATCGATTCCTAACAGAACCCTGATACTCATCTGTCAGAGGCTATGGGTCCCACAGGGCAGGATTCTGTGGCCAGACCCAGCACAGGCATGTCGGATGGATTTTTTTTTTTTTTTTAATGCATTGGTCAATAAACTACCATTTTCTGTTGAAGAATAAGCAGCCCAATTTGCTGTTTATAAAGCCCTGGAAATATTTCTGTAGCTTATGCTGTTGTCCGGGGGGAACTGATGAAGGTTTGCTTACAGTAGGATGGGGAACTTCAGAAAATATTTCCATTTAATAATACAGAAAAATTTGAGTTTTTGCCAAAGTCTCCCAGAGTGAGGGAAAAACACGCCTATCTGTTTCAGACATCATTAAACCAGATGTGCTGCTCTTGGTATTCTGATCTCTCAATATGCTGGTTCAAATTACGGATTTCAGTTATGATTTGGAAACGAACTTCCAGTTTTCTAATTGCTGTCACAAGTCGCACAGATGTCCTTGCTGAATTCACAAGATGAAAACACAGCGTTTCTGGTTCAACTGCGTTCCCTTCAGTCTGCATAGTAATTGCCAAACTGCCACTTTTGATAAGGATTTGCAGAGTCACAGGCATTTACCCTCAGGGCTTTGTGAGAGGGATCCACTTCCAAGCACGCCGGCTGCTGGAGGTGCTCTGAGACGATGTGGTCCGTCTGCAGGGGAGAGAGAGAGGGCTTTAGGTAGGCTTAGGCTTTAGGACTCATGCAGCAGCAGCTCTATTTTTCCCACCGAGAAAACTCGATTCTTTATGGTGTGCCCTTTTTTCGCATTTCCCTAATATGCAAGATCTCTTTGCTGACTTATGGGGACTTTTGGGTGCACCTGTTGCTCAGCCAGGATCATACCATACCTTCTGTGCTTCATGGCTTTTTGTTCACTGGAAATGGAAAGATTAGTTCTCTCGCTGTCCGAGTGGTAATTACCATGCAAAGGAAATCACTCCAGATGGTATCTGCTATATAGGGGAACATACAGCAGAAGACTGATTTTCGTATTTTGGAGTTTCTTGGCTGATGAACTCAAAGCACATTTACTATGCTGAAAAGGATGTTAGGTAATTCAGCACTGAAGTTCAAATGCTGGGGCAGTAAATTGGATTATGAAAGAATTAAGAGTCCGAGTGATCTCCATCCTTTTGGTTTTCACATCTGCTTGGCTTTATCTACTTAACCCAGGTGGCCAGCAAGGCGATGCTGCAGGTGCTGCCAAAGGTAAGGCACATTTCCGTGTCACCACTTAGCATTGCAGCATTTCTTATCATCAGTTGGTTAATACCTAGATGTAATAATGCTGAAATGATACATAGAGTGTTGTCTGGGCAAAAGCTGGATCTTTGTGCGTAGAGTAAACGCACTTCACATCACTAATACGACACAATGACTGTTACATCAGAAGCTAAAGCACCGTAATTCCTTCAGTCAGCATTTACCAGCCGTTGAGCTGCTCTTCCAATTTCCTACTGCTGGCACCAGTAAAGGCTGGTACAACCACACTGACCGAGGCCGCCTGTCCCCAGGGAGCGTGTTGGTGCCCGTGCCTTTGGGCAGCCAGACCCGTCCCCTGCCACGGCCGGGAACATTTGCCCATACCCAGCCCCCTGTTCTGGCAGGGACCACCAAATACATCTAACTCACAGCTCAAGGCGAGCTCAGGCTGGAACAGGAGACAAAAACTGCCCGTGCACTGATAATGCTGTCTGGACTCCTAAATGGATGGCAATTTTCATGTATTTGTCACAAAACACCCTGGCCTTTGTGAGCCTTGGTGCTGCAGCGTTCTGGCTTTGAAAGTTTTATCTTTTCAGACTAAAGAGGAATGGGAGCTTGTTGATATTATGAGCATATAACTTTGCTACATTTTTTCTTTCTTAAATTAAGAGTATTTATTTCTTAAATATAAAGTATCCCTTTTCATAGCATTTTGGACAACTACTTACACCAGGCTGGCAGAGATACAGCTGCGACTCTCTTGGTTTTTGCAGTGCAGGTAATAAATGTAAGTACCCATTATTTTCCTTTTCATAAATGCTTTCTTTTAAAAGCCACTGTGAGCTGAATGCCAATTGGTATCAAGTAATCTCCATGTAAGTGCTATCGACGGTTTCTACATAAAACCTCATCATGACCAGCGTCTCCCCAGCCCCGTGGCACGCGGTGTCGGAGCATCGGGCTGCACGTCGCTCGGACCGATGCAACCCAACAGCAGGGCGCGCGTCTCTATCCCCAGGAGCAAAAGCCGCGGTGCTGGGGGACCAACGCTTAACTGCAGGTGAAAAGACGTCTTTGGCAAAGCCAGGACCAGAGGACCGGGGTACACCCCGCACCTTGCGCCGGCCCGTCAGTCTGCAACGCCGGCTGGCACGCTAACCCAAACCAGGGACTACGGGCCGTGATGGGGGCTGCTCTCGCTGGCATTTCGCTTACCAGCTCCGGCTGGAAGGCGGCCAGCGACCTGTGCAGCCACGCCAGGCTGTGGTTCCTGTCCTCGCAGCGGCGCAAGCCCAGCGTTCCCGCAGCGCCGGCCGGCGCAACGCAGAGCTCTCCGTGCCGGATCAGCCTCAGCCAGGTGTAGTTGAACTTTTGGTTCTGTGGGGAGAGATGGGGGAGAGCTGGCCAGCAGCCGGCGGAGGCTCCCCCAGCAGAGGCTCTCCTCGCCTCCCTCCTGCCCTCACCCGCGACCAGGGGATGAGGAAAGCTGTGATCCACAGGAAGACCTTTCCTATGGATTGGCAGAGCTAAAAAGCCCAGGACGGCCCCACCGCAGGCTCTGGGAGCGACTCCCGCCACAGCAGCCCAGACCCCAAACCCGACCGCCACGCGCTCCTCTGCCCTTCCACCTCCCCTGCCCACACCCTGGCACTGGGGGGCAAATGGATAAACGCCCGTACACGACAGGGTCCCGATCCACACGCTGGCCTGTGCCAGTGGTGAAGCAATTAGCGGGGGACTGCCTGGGAAACGCTGCCTGTAAAGGAAGGGAATGGTTGTCTACAGCAGCTGCTCCCCATCTAGTGACAGAGTGCAACTGTATGTTTTGCAGCAGCACGGAAAACCCAGGCTTGTATTTAAATGTTTCTGCTCATTTTCACGTGCAGGCTCATGGCTTTATCAAACTCTCCTATTCCAGCTCGGTTTGCTGGTTCTGGGGTTGTTGCTTGGCTACAGGCTTTGCAAACAGAGGCAATTCCTGCCCCTCACTGCTCCCAGGCATCGTTTGGCCATATTCCCCGGTGGGAAGGACTGCATTAGCTCTGGGGGAGCTGGGTCAGCATGGGGAGGTACGGGAGCTCTATGCCATGTACAAAACCAGTATTACATACTCACTGTGCAGGGTATCCTTACCTTGTTGTTAACGTCACATGCCTCAAACGCTAGAGTGGTGTTTTCCACAGTGATGCATCTTGCCATGGCTACGTTAACAAGCTAGAAAAGAGCATCAAAATGCAAACTGAGACATAATTCCCAAGGAAGAGGAGAGGCTGTTACACTGCAGTTAAGCTGCTGGATTCACAGGACACTGATTAATACTGTCCACTTAACTGAGCGAAGCAGAGATGATGTGTCAGAGTCCTTGGAAGGGTACATAAACGCACATCTGGTCCACTACACGTTTTTCGACTGAGAGGAGCCTGAAAGGAACCCTTTCCAGAAACGTTCAAGGTTGGACGAGACATGTTCTTTTGTGGGTTTTTTTTGGACATAGCTCATGTTCCTGTTCTGCAAATCCCCACAACAACAGTTCCCGACAATAACAACTGCAGAATCCCTTCCTGTTACTACACTATGATGGAAGCGAGCAGCCACCGCGCACAGCTGATGTAAGCGCCTGGTGGTCCCATCCCAGCTCTGGACGGTCCCATCCCAGCTGGGGCACGGGGCCCTGGGCTCCGGCTGCCCCCCACAGACCCCGCAGCCAGCCCTGGGCAACGACTCCATCACAGTATGTGATGTGCTCGGTGCCTCACCCCGAGGTAACTCCTGTTTTCCATCCAGGTTGGTTGTCTTGGCACCCACCACCAACATGGAAACGCAGCTGTGGTCCCCCGAAGTGGGGAACCCCGGCACGAACTTCACCATGAAGCTGTTTTTAACTAAGCTGCTGCTACCTTGTCCTGGTGGGGAGAAAGAGAGTACGAGCGAGCACTGCACCCTGGGCAGTGCGGACCAGATGTTTCTCCAGGTGTGTGTCTTCAGCCCTAAGCCATCTGCCTCCTCGCCACTTGCTGCGAGGCAGCGTCAGGCTCTGCTCTTCCACTCCGCTTCTTTTTGCTCTTTCTCCCCGCAGCCACCCCCACGGGTGAGCCGGCACCCTACTAACCGCAAGCGTGCTCTGCAAGAGCCGTTTGCTTAACGCTGTTCGTGTGGCATGTTCAGAGGCCGCTCAGGAGTATGGGAGATTACATGGGAAAGCTGGAAACACTGGGCTGAGTGCTGCCAGCCCCCTCCGGCTCCTGGGCTGAAGCCCGCTGTGCTGCAGGGACTCACGGCTGCGGAGGGCTTGGTCGGCCGCAGTCTGCAGGCACCGGTACCGGCTCCTCTGACAACCCTGGCGGTGTGTCAGTCGGGGCTGCTCGCATCTCCGATTCCTTGCAAATGCTGTTCCTTCTGCTTCTCTCAGAACTTCTGAAGAACTCATGAATTAATCCCAGTGCATAAATAAGCTATTCAGAAAACAGTTCTCAAGTAACTTTGGATAGTGTTCAGCACAGCTGGAATTTGCAGAGCTTGCTGAAAAACAGATTTTCTGCCCTATTAAATTTTGAGAATGAAGATAAAAGAGCAATTCAGGTGGCCTGAATCAGGACAAAGCAAGGCAACATCTTGAAAATTTTCACAAACACCTCTGAAAAGCTGACATTTCGATTCAGTTGAAACAGAGGTCTCTCTATATGGTCTAACTGCTTTGCACTGAATTTGACATTAAGTTTTATTGCTCTGACTGAAACAGAAGAGCTGAAAAAGTGAATATTCCTCAAGCAATTTCCATTTTTTGATGTTCTCATGACTATTACTGCTAATTCTTTTTTAAAAATATCACTTAAGCCGATGTTTCACTGAAGCCTTCAGTCTAACCCAAATAGTGCTTTCTAGAAGGCAACGCAGGGACACAGGCTTTCAGCCATACAACAGTTTTGGAGCGGCTGCCCCAGCAGACAGCCCTCGGTTCCTGTGCCTGCAGCTGCCTGGAGCAGCGACCGGTCGCTGCTGTCACACCGAGATGGATGGATGCATCCGAACAGATCCACTGCTCATAATCTGCTGAAGTGTCCGAACCCAGCAGTTTCCTATAGCTTTTCCACGAGTGCCGAGAGGTCAGCCAGAAGAAGCACGGCGTCCCTCCCTGTGCTCTCTGCAGAGCCACCCTCCCACACCTTCACGGCTCGATCATAAAAGTAACGCCCCAGTTGTGGCTGGCAGAGAGCCTGCCTTGATCCCTAGGGATCCCTGTGACGGGGAACCTTCACGTTACGCCCTTGGCCCGCAGACAAGCCTGAAACACGGCCAAATGGTTGCTGTGCTTTTTCCTGGCTCCCAGAAGGGCCAGTGCAGTAAGTGGTGGCTGTGAGCCTTGGCAGGGATGGGGGGGGACAGGCAGTTCTTGTTTTTGCTCCCCCGGCCGTGCCAGCCCTGTGGTCGCCGGCTCCTGGCCACCTCCTCTCGGCAAGTGTTGCTCCTGCCGTGGCACTGGCAGATGGGGATGGGTGGGGAAGGCAGCAAACCCTGTAGTTTTCATTCCTGGCATGGCTGCAGTTTTTCTGACAAACCAGATATTTTACTTTTGTTATTGCAATTATAACTAGATTGCAGTCAATGTATCTTTTCTGGGCGGAATATTTGAGGTTTCTGAATGTTCAAAGCAGCAGCCGATACTCCGCTGAGGCTCAAGGCTGGGCCAAATTCAGAACCCACGTTCTGTTCTCGTTTAATTCGCCTTTTAATGTTGGTGAGGCGACACCAAACGCCTGTGGAGTAGCCACACAAGTAGGACGCAGTGCCCGGCGCGGAGATGGAGGAGAAACGGAGCCCGACCCGGTCACTCCTCCTCAGCCAGCCAGCAAGGGGCTTGTGGAGGCAGGACAGAGGACTCGGTCCAAAATGGACGGTGAGGTGTTTTCTGCCCACCGACCCCCCTTCCCCAGGAGCAGGCTTCACCTGCGCTGGAGAAACACCAGGACTTTTCTTTTTTCCTCCCCCGGCTGGCAGGCAGCGCCGGGGAAAAGCTGATTTCTGCTGCGCTCTGCTGGCGGCAGCGCACCGGTACAAACCCTGCCTGCGCCCGGGGACTGCTGCCCGTCCCTGCCTGCACCGCCAATCGCCCCCGAAAGGGCATTCCCCTCTCCTGCCGTGGCCAAAAAGCCGTGCAGGGGGGAGGATGCTGGAGGCACATCCCCTGACCCTGCCCCTGACCGTGACACGGGCAGCTCACCTGGTGTTTAAGCACCAAACTGGCTCTTTTACGGGAAACCGGCTCTTGGAACTGCGACCTGTTTCTTTATAAACCCGCTGGGGAATCCAGACCGCTGTGACGTACTAAATATTCAAAAATGTTACCAAATGCCAGGGAAGCAACTCGGAGACAGCGTTACCGGGATGCTACCAAGTGTCTCACCAGCTGCTGAAAACATGTTTAAATGAAGGATAGCAAGTCATTTGGCTACATACCAGCCCGCTGGCTTTAACCAGGGGAGCTTCCAGGTCCGGGTAGACGTTCTCCAGGTACCACCGGAAACTTTTGCACTGAAGCTTCTTTCGCAGTTGGATTTGCTGAGTCAGGTCGCCGACATCCAGGTTTTTCAACACTAAGTGGTAAGCGTGGCCGTAGAATAACTCCTTGTACTCGTCCAGCCAGACCTCCGCAACACGGGCCAAGTTCCTCTCCACCGTTCTCACCCGATCTTTCGGGAAGGAATAAGGATTGTCGTTCCTGAAAATGTGCCCAACTCTGGAGCACGGAACAATCTCAATCTCTCCCCCACACATCCAGACCTGAGAAACAGAGGTTGCTTTGATAGAAACACGGGCAAATGTTGGGTGCTAGCTTTGTGCAAGCCAGAAGAGAAGCAGAGATGTAAGTAAACTGCCAGGAGGGACGGGGTCTCCCACATGGGGCTGCCCCAGTGAGCCCCTGGCTGAGCCCCATCACCTACGCCAGGCTGGCAGGGATGCAGGCGTGTGGGACAGGCTGTCGAGAGCAACATACCTTGAATGAAATCTCCATATTTTCACCTCCCCAAACATCCAGTCCTGGGTCATACGTTCCCAGCTCAAAAAAATACTTCTTATCAATGGAAAACAGGCCACCTGCCATGACTGGGCACCTGGGAACAGAGAAGCCACACGGCACGTCAGCTCATCAGAAAGCACCCATCCCTTTCCCCTTACTTTGACGAGGGAATCGTTGAGAAGCTGCAGGCTACTAAATGCTCAGGGACATTACCTGAGCCTGCATTTACAGAGACAGCAAGGACCACCTGATCTGTCACTTTGCTGCAGGCTGACAGATGCAGCGTTAAAATAGACGGTATTTGGGTGGTTTTACCCAGCCTGAAAGCCGTAATGGGGCACGGAAGGCAAAACATGCAACAGTACGTCTCCCTTGCCCTGGCGGCACCGGCAAAATGCCGGTGGTACTGCGAGGGGTGAGAAAAGCTTGATGAGCTTTGCCCATGTCTGGTGATCTGACTGCCCACAGCAACCACTGCCTCTGTTGTCCTTACAAGCGAAGGAGCAACATTTGGCCTGGAAGGAGCCTTTGTTCCTACATTATTAACAGTTTGGTTCACAGGGCTCTCACCTTCGCTTTTTTTACCTTATTATATCAGTCTCCTTGATTTTATTTTTCTCGATGACCTCTTGTGGAATCTGCCTCCATCCAAAATTCATTGGCCAAGTAAAAATCCCACGCTGAAAGTTGTCCACGGTCATGTAACTAAACGGGGAAAAGATCAGGATGACTAATTCTGAGTCACATTCCTGATTGAAATGTCACCCTTAATGAGTGAAGATGAGTATCTCTACATAATTAAACCAGGATTTTAACAAATTTCATCAGGAATCCTCTTCATGTACGACAAGTCATGAAAAAGGGAAAAGGTGTGTGTGATAAACGAAGGGGCCACGTCCACTGCTCATGCTAACAGCAACGTTACGTATCCCTTGTGAAATGCTGCTGAAGGCCAGTTAGGAGGTCTGGACCTGTGTCTTCCTGTAATTAATAAGTTGGCGGCCCCACTAAGAGGTTTTACTCACGCCACCGCCATGGATTTTGGGTTTCCCAGGGGCGCGAGCCGCCTTACCTCATGTCCTTGTCGCTGATGACCTCGATGACGGGGCAGGCGACCTTGGCCCGGCTCAGGCGGACCCTCTCCAGCAGCGGCTCCAGCCACCCCACGTTGCACTCCACGTGCGAGTCCAGGAACGTCAGGACGGTGCCTGTGGCAGAAGCCGGGGCAGCATCGGCCCTCGGGCACCCCATCCCCCTCCCAGACCAGCCGGCCTCCCCATGGGCTCGGGGTGCTGCTGGCGGGGCCACGACCCTCCACGGCTGCCAAAAGCTTCCCGTCTGTAGCCCAGAGCACGTTTTCACCGCTCGGCCATTGTAGCCTGCGGAGCCAAGCGGGGCGGCTCCCGGCAGAAATGGCTGTTTCGGTGCCACCACAGCTGGAGATGCCAACTGCCGCTTGCTAGGGACATGCTGAGGTGCCGGACAAGCCACGGCTCGTCCCCTCATCAGACCCTCGTGCTTCACATACCGAAAAGATGCCCCGAGTTTCTTGGGAGGGGACTAAAGCTCAGTGCTGGAGATGGCTTATCGGCACCTTGGAGGGGGGGACCCAGACAGCTCTGTAAAATGGCTTTCATCCTACCTTTGGCGATCTCCGCTCCTGCCAGTCTGGCCCGTATTAGACCGTGCCTCTCCTTGAGATGGAGGATCTTCACTTTTGGGAACTGCGACATGTATTTGTCCAGCTTCTCCTTGAGGTACTCTGCAGGGAAGGAGAAGGAGAGGGTGAGAAGGTTGACTTACCCATTTCGCACCCGCTTCCAGGGTGAAAAGCAGCGGGCAGATTTTCCTTGGAAGCACCTCCAGGACACACCAGGGTCCCCGGGTCTGGGGCGCAAACATCTGGGCACAGCTGCAGGGCTGCTGGTGCACAGCGTCATGGTCCGAGCCTGCTCTCTGTCGAAACTCCCAGCTGTGTCAGTGCCAGCAGCTTTAGGCTGAAGTTGACGAGTTTAAAAATTTGTTGGAGACGTGTTTCCCCACTACTCTGTGATGGGTGCGGAGTTTGGTCCCGGGGGCTCGCCATGGGCTGCCCGGCTGCCCTGGATCTGCCCTTCCAAAGGATGGGGCTGCGGGTGGTGGTATCTTCTCCTGCTCCCTGTGCGGCGGGCGGACGCTCTGCACCCGTACCTGGTGCTGGGCGATCGCAGTGACTCGCTGCATGCAGGAGATGTGGGAAGTGGAGAGCAGCAAGTGCAAGGCTTTGGGTTACAGGCCATGAGCAAAATCCCAGCGGCCTGACTTGGGTAGCTCATGATCCAAACCAGGTATCAAATGGTTGTTCAAAGACTCCAAAATGAGGTGTTTTTTTTTTCTTCATTGCACTAAAATTGCAATTAAAATCTGGTTGTAAATTTTTTCCCTTTGCCTAAAAAAATACTTCTTTTGTGCTCTACAAATTTCTCAATATTAAGCAGCACATTTAAAGACTCAGCCCAGGTTTAAACCGCACGAGGGCTTGCTGTGGCACTTCTCTACTTTTCAGATTGCTTTTGTCATGGTTTCCTGCAGCTGTGGAGGCAGCTGGTGGTAAACTCTCCAGAAAAAGAGGGTGTGAGAAAGGTGGTCCGGGGGCCTTGAGTGCCGGGGTCTGCTGTTTGCAGGCGGTTTCCCTCCGGCAGAGGAGCCCGGGAGCCCCTGCCGTGGTGCTGCAGCTCCGAGTGCTTCGTTTGGAGCCAGCCACCCACTTACATTGTTCGGTCTGCGGGGAGGACCCCTGACCTCCCTCACCAATGGGCTTCACTGGTGCTCTTTGGTTTTCTTCAGGAGAATATAACTGTTTGCATTTCAAAAGCCAGTTAAAATCTTTGAAAGGCTCCGAAGGTGAAACATTTGCGGACACGTTTGCTGTAGGTTATTGCTGCTGCTATGTGGACTACAGCAATGCCAAGCACAGCAGTCCATAATTCACTCACACTCATGAGGTTTCGGTTGCAAACCCAGCGTTTCAGATGTTCACTGGCTAACGAGTGGATACAAAGGGAGAAAGTAAAGAGGAAACTTGAAAAGATGCTTTTGAAGGCAATGGTATGAACATGTTTTAATGATTATTTTAAAAATGAGCAAACTGAGTCTTTTCCCTCTTTTTTGCACCTATTGTCTCGTTGCATTGTAGGCTCTTTGTATGCGTGGCATGAGCTCTGAATTTTGTCCGAGACAGCACTTTCCCTGAAGAACCAGCAGTTGGAAAATTACATCATTCTTAAATTTTTAAGGGCTGAAGTCAGCAGAGAGCCAAAGCATTACAAAGGAGAGGTTCAATATCATCTGAAATGCCTGAGTACGCATGCAAAGCCACCGTGCGCGCACAGATGCCTGGCTCACCACTGCTTTTACTGCAACTACCCTGTTCTCTGAGCAACCTGGGAAGTGCGTGCTGTTCCTCCCCTGCTGCCAGCGCTGAAAACATGGGGGCACTCCCCTGGAAACTGCACAGAGAAGGCTGACAGCGTCTTTATGAACACACAAGCCCTTGAGCCAGGATGCCCTGAAGATGCGCAGGTTGGGTAGGACCGAGCTCCCTGGTGCTCCTGGACCGCAGTGCCTCCGCCAGCCTCCGGCACACGTGCAAAGCAGCGCACGAGTGTGAACTTAGCGATGCACAGCTGAAAATGTAGCAGCTGTTTGAGTGAGTGAACTGGGATTGGAGACACATGAATAATAAGGTCTGGCAGGGTGTTAGGCAAGAGCTGCAGCTCAATCCACCACAGCCACCCCCCAGTGCCCATCTGGCCTCTGATCCCCCTCGTCTGGAAAGATAACAGCGCAGGCTGGGGATGCGCTTCAATACATCGAAAGGAGAAAATGTGATTTCTCTCTACTATTCAGAATTGAATTACAGAGAACAAATTGCATTTTGGCCTCAAGTTATATTAGTTTCATAAAGGTAGAAGAAGCTTCGCCTACCTTTAGTGCTGAAGTCGTCCACCAAAATGACTTCTTCAATCAGGTGCGGAGGAGATCTGCTGAGGACGCTGTGAACGGAGCGCAGGAGGGTGGACCACACTTCATCCACGAAGCACATGATGATGGTGGTGGTCGGGAGGTCGTTGTGAACCTGCTGCTCGGAGCACCTGCAACGGCAACACGGGCTCACAGGCAACGGCCGGTCGTACTCCTCAGAATGTCCAGGCTTAGTGTTTTCTGGGAAAACGCATAGGGAGGGGGGAAATGCCAAATGTGAAATATGGAGGCAAAGCCCTGCAATGGGATTGTGTTGGAAGAGGGAACAGAGGGGTGAGCTGGGTAAACTCCCCACACAGCCCCGGGGCCCCTCTTGTGGGCAGCCTCGCGGAATAGAACGTGCTCACTCCTTTCTAACAGGGACATCTTTTTTTTTTTAACTCCTTACCCACAGGTGATAACATCTCCTCTCTGTAAGCAAACAGTGCAAGGGCCCCGGACAGCGAGGCCGATCCCAGCTCTGCACCACTGGTCTTGTGGACTCCTGTGGGGAAAGGATCCTGCGGTGCTCCAAGCATCCACAGGGTTTGGGATCCTGGGCTGCGTGAGACAGCCTCGTCAAAAGAAAAGAATTGGTATTACGTTCAAAATGCTGGCAAACAGCCATTTATTTCCATGAAGGGTTACTCAGCACAGCAACTTGTCAAACACACAGACAGCGAGGAAGAGTCGTCCAGTCCAACTTCTGCACCTCGCTCAGGGGATTGTGGAGGATGGGAAAATATTCAGGCATCCAAATCTCATGTACGATGGTACTGGCGGGTCTGCTCCCTGAGCACCCTGTATCTCACACTCCGAGCACCCATGCCTCCCCAGGGATGCCCCGGCCCGGCCGGTCATGCCCTGAGCCCACGTGCGGGGGCTCCGAGTGGCACCTGCTTCCCTCAAAAACAGCCAGCGATAGGCACTGGCGGATCTGAGGAGTGATAAAATTTCTCCCGTGTCTATGGGTTTGTCATTTTATTCTGTGCCAGCCAAAAATGCAACGGCTGGGTCAGGCCTGGGTCTTCAGTGTTTGAACAAAAGGTCGATGAGCAGCTTTTCTCATCTTCCATTTGCAATTCAAGCACCGCTTTGCTGCGTGCCTTGGGGAGCAGGGCTCCCTCAGCAATCCTATCTCCGAGTGGATCTCCAGGCCTGCAGAACGCCTGGCGTAGCGCTCCTCTCCCCCAGACCGCCTGGTTCATCCCAGAATACCCACGAATTGCTGGGACTTGCTTTCTCTCTCTCGTCAATAAGTTGAAGTCTGATAGCAGGTTTTTGTCTCGTCCTTCCAGAGCAGACCTCCCGCAGGCAGGACAGGCGCCAGCCTACCTGCGGATGCAGAAAATTAATTTCTCAGTGATGAATCAAAACCACTGTTCGCTCTGCTGTCAAGAACAGACAGAAAACAGGGACAGGTATATGGGAGTGTACAGAAAATTGACTTCTTTTTCTTCTATCTCAATGAACGGGCCCTCGGGTTTGGCTGGTGCTGGCTCAGATGCTGATGCCAGGGCACCGCACAGCTCAGACCATATGATGTTTTGAAGACAATTCAGAGGTATTTCAGGGCTTTGCAGCTAATCAGAAGTTCTCTGGGTAAGCAAAAATAACCCCAGAGGTACTCTCTGTTGCAATCCTTGGGATGCGTCTTTCCTTCTGGGTCACCTCGGGCAGCGGTCAGGGCTGGCTCAGCCAGGAGGGGATGTGCTGTTTGATATGGTTTGGCTGGAAACCATAAAGGTATTGGCCTGTGGCGATGGGACCTCTCTGCAGCGCGGGAAGGTTGGTTTGGGCATGCCGGCAGGACTCCTGAGGTCAATGGAGAGAAGGCAGGGGCTGAACTGCCGGGGAGGTGGCTTGCGAGAAGGAGACAGGACAACAAGGGACAGCTAAACTAGAAGAGAGGTGAATTGTAGTTTTTCCTACAGTGAACCCAAGGAGGCAGCTCATGGGGTGAGGAGGGACAGAGGCCATGGGTAAAGCAGGAGAGAGCTACCGAGCACAACAGCTTTCATTGCATAGAAAGAGGGATTTGAGGGCAGCTGAGAAAATGCAGCCGAGACCCAAGCTGCGAAGGCTGCGTGCAGCCAGGCAGTACCTGCTAAGAGGACTTTTCTCTTTAGCCCTCTCATTAGCTGCAAACAGGCTCTTGGCCAAAGCCTGCGCATATCCTGGGGCAGCTGGAAAGTGTCCACGCGAGGGCGATGGGAAACCTCAAACTGAGGAACGCCTTTTTCTCCCTTCTTGCCTAAAAAAGTAGGATTTCTAGGCAGAGAGCAATGGGTTTGTTATTGTTGACCCCTGGCTAAAGATATTTCACTATGTCCTGTGTGAGTTTGGGCTCCATTTCTTTGCTAACTATATACATATATGTACATACATACATATATTTTGAAATATGCATATGTAATACTTAATATATATAACTAATGTTAAGTAGAAGTCAGATCCTTTCAAAATTCCACCCCTAAACAGGCTTTTAAACAAAAATAGCTCACAGCCTTTATGTTCTGTTGACACCACCCTGGAAGTCAGCAAAACGCAGGCTCTTAAGTTACTAAAGTTGCTTTGGGAAAACGTCACCTTAGATCTGCTGCCACGGAGTCTGGAAGCAGCCTGGCACTGAAGACCTGAGCCGCAGAGGTCCCTCCCCATGCCTGCCAGCACAGATGCTAACTTACCCAGACTATACTGTGCCATGCAGCATGCGACATTTTTTTTTCCAGGCTAGGAAATCTGGGTCCCTATCTAAACCCAGATAACTTGATTGTCCCAGAGAAGCTACGACGGTAGCCTGGGGAGAGGTCAGAGGCACGCAGGGACTGCCAGCGCTGCGGTGTTGGGCTGAAACTGGGTCCAGGGCTCCTGAAACGGGGTCCGCAGGGAACGCTCCCTGCAACCTTCCTGGCCACCCCTGGCCTTCACCTGCGTGGCTTGTGCACCTCGCTTCTCCGTGGTGGCATTCTTCCTGCATGCATTTCTGCGGATGCGTGGTGCGCAGCAAGCACCAGCGTGGTCAGCGAAGGTCAGAAAGCAGCAAGCATTGCATGTGGATAGGCAGACTGAAGGCTGTGACAGGACAAGTTTCCCGTTGGCCAAATTTCAGCGGTCTAGCCCAGCACTCCTGCAAGGATCACAAGAGGAACTGCAGTCTAAACTGGGAGAGATCGGAAGATTCCAGCAAAAAGGTAACATGCTGTCCCTTACTAACGTGAGCTGGCCCTTACGACCTGATTTCTGCCATGCCAACAGGCTGAGGGCAGAGCCTGCACAGGCTCCTGCCGGTGCTGGGGCACCCAGGGGAGCTCCCCGTGGCCCCGTGCCCTGTCATGGCAGCACACCTTCCCCGGCAGTGCCATCAGGGACGCACCCCTATTTGGCCAAGGCGTTCACCGTGACGCCCAGACCACAATGACATCTCCTTCTGGACAGGCGCGTGATTCACCGGAGGCCGGCAGGCTGCGCTTACGGACGCTCCTGGGAGGTGTTTTCTGCTCCGCAGCTCCAGGGCTTTGCTGTCAAAGACCAAACACAGTGCTGGCTTTGGGCACCATGGTTCTTTTTCTGTGCACAGGTGGCTTCTGTAGCTGGCATCCTCTGCCCAGAAGAAAGCAGTCCTAGTTGTCTCCCTCCTTCCCTGCCCCATTCCTTCCCGTGCAGGGCCTCACCTCAGCTCACAGGTGAGCACCGACAGCGCCATGGGAATGTCTGTGCGTTGTCCTGTGGGATGGGGGACAAATCACGGCACAACTCCCATCCCACCGTACTCGTGGTCTACGAGCATGGGAAGAGGGGGACGGGAGGGTCTCTGGATGAGGCAGGTCTCTCGCCTGCCAAGGGGCTGAGACATGTTTGCAGCAGGAAAAGCTGAGTATAAGAGACGAACCTGCCATTCACCTGAACTGGCACCCTCCCTGGACCCTCCCTGCAGCTGTCCAGGCACAGCAGCTCAGGAGAGGGAGCCCCTCGAGCCCCTTACCCCTTCCGATGGCAAGGCGCTGCCCACACCTTACCCTTTTCCTTTCTATGGGGACTGCGGGGAGCAAGTGTCTTTTTTGAAGGGCAATACTGAGATTTGCAGAACCAGCTACACATTGCGTGGGGACAGCTGTAACCGAATGACAGTTTTCCAAATCAAAACCCTGCATCCCTCCCTGCGTGTGCCCACAGATCCGAGTCCCCCGAGCCAACTCCGTAGAGCGGGTACCGACCGCAGTGCTCTGCAGCGCAAGGGCAGCGGTGCCACTGGTCCCCATAAAGGATCGCTCCTGGGAGCATCCCCCGGACCGCTTCGATGGCAGGCCAGTGTGTGCCCGTTTAATCACGTCAGCGCTCAGCAGAGGCTTTTGTAGCCCCAGCGGGCCCTTCGGGCAGGGGAGGTCGTTGGGGTGCCTCTGCCTCGAGGGAAGGGCAGCGGCAGCTTGCAGGTGTGAGAGCACCTGTGGGTAGGGGGTCTTCTGCTGCCGAGCCAAATCGACAGGGTGCAGGAGTGCTCCAGGAACCAAACACATGAGTATCAAAACCAAACAGCGCTCGGCGCTGCACCTGATAAATCACATTAAAGTGTTTTAAGGCATGAAGAGGCCTGAGCCCCATTGCCTGCCTCGTGTCCCCCGCCACGTTGGACAGCAGGGCCTAGCGGCTTAAGACGACCTGCAAACTGTACCCAGTTTTACGTTTAATAACAAGCTGCTCGTACCCAGAAAGGCAAAAGCTGTCTCACGGCTAGCACGCACGAAGCGAAGGCCTCAGTGCACCCAGTGGCCCTCCCCAGCAGCCACAGGGAAGCAGATCTTACCCGGCAGGTCTGGTGTCCGCTATGGCTCGGTCTACGGGGATCAAATCGCTGAGGTAGACATTAAAGTTTCCTTCTTTCCATCTGCTTTTTGCTTCTTCTTGTTTATCGTCAGGGACTGCAACAGGGTGCCCAAACTGGCCGGGAGCTCGAGGGTCTCTCGGGGCAAGCGTTGCATCCACCGACGAGACCCTGTGCGTTCCGGGGATGCTGCCACCCGCCCGCTCCTGCCGGCCCTTGCCAGCGGGCACCCCGGGAGCTGCTCCTTGCGTGGCACCCAGCGTCCGGCTCTGGCCATCCCGCACCGCAGCCCCGGCGTCGGCGGCGCGGTGGCCGTCCTCGTCGGCGAGCTGCCGCTCTTCGCGCTTCTCCGGGCTCTTTGGGAACTTCCCGGCGGAGTCGGATCCAAGGCGCGGGGCTGCCGGGCCGAGGGGTTTGATCCCCTCTTTGCTAACGCGGACGAAGCGACGTTCGGAGGCGGTTGCTCTCCTCCCCGCTCCCGGTTGCTCCCGCCCGGGCAGGGCTCC